TTACTGGGGACTTGAAATGACCAGTACCTAAAATATCCTTTCCTTCCAATGCCAGAGGAATAGCTTTCGCCTGTACCAATGTAGGATGCGCAAAGTTCAATTTTGCGATACCTTGTAATAATCTAGCATCTAGGCCTAGACTGGAAAAGGAGGAATTTGAGTCAACTGTTGACTCGTCAGCTATCGCCGTGGTTTCGTCTTCACCATGTTTTCGCTTCATTGTTAAATTGTGGGTTGCATGAATTCTCGAATAAGGTTCAGGGTATATTTTTTTTTGAGGATTAATAGGCAGAAGACTTGGCGAGTCTGTGAAACAGCCTGTTACCCTGCTGCTCAAAAACCGTGTATGCGCTTGGAGAACCAGACCCGTCCGTAGCTGTGTTTGACCTGGTAGCTGAGCCTTGGCGTCCCCAAAGTGAACTCCAATCCCTGACTACATACCATTAACTACTGTACCTACATGTACATGTAGGTACTCTACTCTAGACCGATTCGCCTAGTACAGATGCGCTAGACTGTATGTAGTCTATAACAGTATAGCTACAATATAACTAACCAGAACAAGTATAGCTTGATCCAAAGTTGGCCTCAAGCGCTAGGCTCTCGTGAATTTTGCAGAGGGTTAGGTTTGTTTCCCTTCCATGGCCACACCGGAGGTGTCACCGTGAAGCATACTACATGTAGGTACATAGCAGAATGTATATTTAACAATGTGGATTAAGGAATCTACTCTGGCAATGTTGTTCAGATGGTTATGCATACAATTCTATCAGAACCAATTGTTTTCTACTCTAGAGGAGGCTTTTGAATTTCGTTCTCACAAAAACTGTTTGCTTCCAACGCCGGTGTGGGTTTATGGCTTTTCGGGCCATAGTATATTGCTCTCACTGGACAATTGAAGGCTAGGGGAGTTTCCAATTTTGTCCAATTTCGGTGTGCTTTCATATGTGATGGTGATTTATACAAAAAACTAAACCTAACCCTGGTGGCCGGTATATATTGGATGTTCACTAAACGGTGGGAATATAACCTTGAGCGGAGTATTACTCTATAATACATCGAATAACAAACTTTCCTGTATGTACATATGTACAAACAACCCCCAAAGTATAGGTGATCTTCCCTGGCAAAATTATGTTCGGTATAGTTATAAGTGAAAACGGGGGGAAATTAACACGGCCAGCTACTTGCTACTGATTTTACACTACCCCCCCCCCCCCCCCTTTTCCCAACTCCAAATTCGTTGTAAAATTAACCTTTATAGCCCAACCAGTCTATGTATATATGTGTGTATGTGTGTATGTGCCGGCGTGTATGTGCGTGTGTACGCATACCTCACTCTTAAATTTCACGACCGTCCAAAAATAAAGTCAAGATCATCAACGTTGATGTGAATCCTTATCCGATAAACCCTTGGCCTTCAGAGATTCTTCCTCGTCATCCTCAACTACCGCCTCCTCCTCTGTTTCCTCCGCCTCCTCCATCAATGCCTCAGCTTCAATTGGTAGACCGTGTGGTGGTCTTGGGGAGATTTCCCCTCCGTGAAGTTGCCATTCCATAAGCTTACTAAAAGGGCCATCTCTCGAACTCAATTCCTTGAATGTTCCTTGTTCCGCAACTCGTCCATCAGAACCCAGCACAATGATTCGATCGCTTCTCTTGATGGTCGAAAGCCTATGGGCGATACTAATAGTTGTACAGGACGAACGCATGAGTTTCGTCAGGGCTTCGTTTACAGCGGTTTCAGACTCAGCATCTAGGGCTGAAGTAGCTTCGTCGAGAATGAGGATATCGGGATCTTTAACAAGAGCGCGAGCAATAGCAATGCGCTGCTTCTGTCCCCCGGAAAGCATGGCACCGCGAGCACCTACAGAGGTTTCTAAGCCATCCGGAAAATCAGAGATAAACTGGCAGTTCGCCTTCCTTGCAGCAGCAATGATCTCCGCCTTTGTTGCATTGGGCTTCCCATAAGCGATGTTTTCGGCAATCGTTCCGGAAAAGAGGACGGGTTCCTGGGCAACGACACCAATTCTTCGACGTAGTGACTTAAGGTTGAATGTCGAAATGTCTACGTCATTGATTCTGATTGAACCAGATGCAGGTGCGTAAAATCTGAGAAGTAGAGAGCCTATAAACTGGGGTTAGAATCCACCAACCGAGAAAAAAAAGAAAGAAGAAAAGAAGCAAATTAATCGTTTACTAATTGTAGATTTTCCGCCCCCAGAGGAACCGACGATAGCAACATTTGTGCCGGGAGGAATTTCAAAATTCAATCCATCGAAAATATTGACTGCCGGGCGGGTCGGATAGCTAAAAACAATATCTTCAAATTTTATGGTTCCACGGGCCGATGTGACAGGATTTCCAGCTAGCATAGAAGTCAGTCATGAATGTAACTCCAGCGATATTACCAACGTCCTCCAAAGGTACCTGGGCACCGTGGTTCATCGCTAGAGAGAGATTTTATCTCCTCGATCAGATAAACCACGGGACCCGAAAGCATTCAAATACCGCTAAGACTAAAGGAGCTGACCTGTAGGAGAAATTGATGGCTTTCTGTCTTGCAGCTCAAACAAACGGCTAGCAGCACCCACTCCTTTCATGAGTTCGGAGTAAAAGCTTGACAGCCCAAAAAGACTTGATCCAGCGTATGCGGTGTACCTAATTTTCGCTTAGCAAAATCTCTTGAAGGGGCGTTGATAAGGGTTTACATCAAAAACGAAGACAATTCACCGATGCTAATCGCACCTGACTTCACTTGTTCGCCACCAATGTAAAGGATTGCAAGAATAGTCATATTTCCAATCAATCCTGTCTAAACACCACATCTGTTAGTAGGAAATTAGGGAAGAAAGCACCACGAATAATCATCTGTCCATTTTCTTTCATCCATAGAGAGGCTTGCTTACGCTACTGAAAAAGGTTGCACTGATCAAAGCCTCTCGTTTTCCGAGCTCGAAGATCTTTTTAACTTGGCGATTATACCTCGCAACTTCCAATATCTCCCCAGCAAATGCTTGACTGGTCCTGACGTTGCCGAGACGCTCTTCGGCAATTTTTGTCAAGGTTCCGACATTTCGTTGAATCTTTCTACTCAAATTTCGAATACTCCTTCCGTAAAAGAAAGCGCCGATAGCGATTGGGGGGAACATGATAGTCATAACCGCGGTCAACTTTAAGCTCACGTACGCCATTAATCCTAAGCCAGCACCACCAGTGACAAGGGCTCGGAGACCATCAGAGATATTTTGAGTGATGCTTTTACCAACGACCACAGTATCGGAAGAAAGACGTGAAATCAAATCTCCTACACGATTTGCATCGAAAAATTCGGCGTTCTGGACGTAGGTTCGACGAAATAGTTGAGACCGGAGACGGGCAACAATACGTTCACCAACAATACGGAGGAGAATTATGCGCGCATAGTTGGCCCCAGCACCCATGATTAAAACCTGGAGCAGTATTAACCCGCCGTTCACGCCTAAAAATATGTGGAATGTGGTATACCCCTGCGAGAGCCATGTAAAATTGTGGAAGTGCCAATCCAAACAATGTTCCAGCTTCTCCTTCAGGCTTTGTTGCCATATCCAATATTTTTCCAATAGAGAAGCTTGTTTGAACATTTTTAGTATGACTACATATCCTCATGCGCTTTTCGGTGAGTACTTACGGAATAGACATCGTAATGGTAGAACTAACCAATAGAAAGACAAAGGCAACTGCAATTGGCTTTTAGAATTCAAATGTACTGCCAAACCTAACATAATCAAACACTCACCTCCAAGCCATTTCGCCTCTGGACGGGCAATTTTTAAGAGTCGAACAATTTCCCCCATTCCTGGTTTAGTTGAGTTTGGTGATCCATCTTTATTGAGCCTTGCCGAAAGATTAACTTGAGCTGCGCGAGTTGCTTTCTCGGAGCGCCCAAAACCTTCAACTTCTGCCGGTGTTATATCCTGTTTCTTGACCTTATTATCTGGTTGCTGAGTTGGGTTCGATTTTCGTGATGTGGAGAATGGGTAATGTTGTTCTCTTGGGGCCCAGCTATTCCAAGGGACACGGCTCTGTGTACAGAACCTCGGAAAAGGTTTCAGAGCGCTTTGGGGGCGCAATTGAGCAATATGAAATGAAATAGACTCCTTGGGGCGGGATCTAAGGGCATTAAATTGAGTCGAAGTAGTATATGAATGGCATTGTGAAGCTGGTAGTGGAAGGAGTACTCTTGGGGGCGAGACTAGGGAACCTCGGAGCCCTGAGCGTAGAGGAGGGATCAACGAGCGCATGACATGGAAATTGATCGCAAGAAGCGAACACTCGAGTGCCTTTGAAGCCTCGATAGCTCAACGTTTGAAAAGAGCAATATATCGTCTCGAGAATTTTCGATAGTGATGCTTCTGTTTGTCGGGCAAATGGTAGTGGGTTGAAAGCACCAGTACAGTATTATTGATGGTGGGGGTGGTGAATGCCGAACTGCGCCAAGACCTACGGTTGGATGGAGAACATGCATGGAAGTGCCTAGACGACTCAAGATCTCACGATACACTGTGCCATGGCCTATTTCACATAAATTACCTCCTCTGCATAAAGCTTTGCAGTCGAGCGCTGCAGGTCTTCCTTCAATCCACAGCCTTAGTATTTAAACATTGATCAATATCAGTTACCTCCTCTCACGCACTCCATCCTTATCTCTCTGATCAGTTGATCACTGCCATCCTGTAGTGTGACCAATTGCGTATGTAACTAACTGCACGACCCCTCCTCCTCAAATACCTACTTTATACACTGTCTAAGCACTCCCCACGAACAATCAGCACCATATCGTTTTCAACACGATCACCACCCCTCTTTTGTCCGTTTCTACCACTGTGTCATCCAAGTTCCATCCATCCATCTACGCTTACGTTGTAGCGATCCGTATTCGATAATCGGTAGCTACTATTTAAACACACCGCCTTCACCTCATTGTTATCCATCTCGGTAGTCAGTAACAAAGATCAGCCATGGTTCTTGATTACTCCAAGTGGGATAAGTAGGTGCTCCAACTTGTTCATTCATTTAGTATCTTCCCTTTCTCTTCTGTACTCCTCTCATTTTACAATCTACCCCTCTGTTCGGAAGAACGCAAGTTCCCTAAAGCTAACGAAACCGCAAATAACAGGATCGAATTATCCGATGACTCTGATATTGAGGTCCACCGTAAGCATAAAGGCTTTCCCCTCTTTTCTTTAAATTTTAGCTGACAGGAACGTCCGCAGCTAATGTCGACAAACGTTCTTTTATCAACGCCAAGAGGCGTCAGATACATGAGACGCGCGCTGTACGCAAACAAAACATTACTAACATACGCATGGAACTTTCTATGAATGATGTTCTTCTCAAACGCTTAACGAAACTTATTTCCACTTTGGAATCTAGTTCTACGTCTAAGTCCCCAGAGGATGTGGTACTCCAAGCTCTTGTCGATATTTCGTCTGAGGAAGGAGAGCAAAAGACACCACCTCTCCCTCCAAACACCCCCACATATGCACAAATGATGGCATCACTAGTCGACTCAATAAAGAAAGAAATCGATCAAGAATCCCCGGTAGACCGCGCAAAGGCGTTCTTAGATAAGCTTAAAGGGCATAAGGTGAAACTTACAGAAGTTTATGCCCAGTCTAGTAAAAGATTGGCGGAGTTGGAAAAGGAGGAAAGTTCAAAGATCACAAGTGATCAACTCCATGACGGATTTTCTGCTGGCCATGTCAATAAGTCTGTACAATTTCCAGCTGCTTCGGAAAAGAAGAAGACTTCTCAAAAAGTACACGCCGTGGAACAGTTAAACCCGGGTGCTAAACCCCTAGAATCTCGTAATGATTCTACATCTTCGGGCGCCGAGGCAGATTTAGAGGAATCGGCGGAGGATGATAACGAAGATCATATTGAGCCGACAAGATTGGGTCGAGAATTTGCAAAGATTAAGATTGGCGATTATAGGCAGTGCATGGAATATGTCTCACGAAACCCAGCAGTAGTAGCTGAGAGAGAAACAGATGGGCTCTTGATCGAGGCATTCAATGCTCAGATTGAGGGTAAAGATGAGTATGCAAAGCAATGCGTACACCAGGCGCTATTGTTACAATACTGCCGCCAATTGGGAAGGGACGGTGTCGCATTATTTTTCAAGCGGTATATATTCTACGAGAACCCATGCGTGTATCCTTGCTGATAACCATGCGTCCAGTATAACAACACCAAATCACCAAGCACAGAAGGTCTTTCACGAAGATGTCTCGACAACCTACCTACGAATTCGTGAACGTGCAAGGACCATGGCTGAAGAACGCAATAACCAAGCAGCCGGAGTGGAACAAATCCAGTTGCACGCTGTCGATCCTAACACTCAAATCACCATTGCCGTTCCATCAGCTGACTCGGAAGACCCGGAAATACAAGGCTCACGGAAGATATTTGAGTCCTTTCCGCCAGGCCTACAAAGAGCACTCGAGAGTGGGAGTCTAGACGAAGTCAATAAGGTACTTGGAAAAATGAGCGTTGAGGAAGCGGAAGAAATTGTTGGGCTTCTTGGAGAGGTAAATCCCTACGCCAGTAATAATTGGACGTAATACTCACCAATTTCTAGGGGGGCATGTTATCGCTTGAAAGCCAGATCATTGACGCTACCACGGAAGAAGGCAAAGAGAAGCTAAAGCAAATCGAAGAGGATGAGAGGCAAGCAAGGGCAAATAACTCTGATAGCACTGATGGCACTACCACTGCTACAGAAGCTGATATAAAGGGGAAAGGTAAAGCAAAGGCAGAGTCTTCGTATATCGAAGAGATCGATTGATCGAAAATATGCTCTGATTTTGGTTTAGCTATTGCTGTACATGTATTGCATCCACTCAGTAAATATTGTATTCAGTTACGAGCTTGCGCATGGAAGGAAAGAATACATGTGACCCCTCTGGAATAAACCAGTATATGCTTTTGCTATTTGCTAGTTACGTTTCTTACATCGAGATTTCCAGCCTATGTCTACCTCTCTCTTCTGATCTTCCCCTTCTACTACTGTTCGTATTACAGCAAATTCAATTACCAAGCTGATATCAATGTAAATTCTTACTCACTTAATCACTTAATTAATTAATCGGTAGTATGGTGCGCACACTCTTAAAGGCGATACGGTGGCACCCGGAAGTAGAACAATTGTGGCTGCAATATGAACTCATGGGCCAATTAGAGAGCTCATTTCTAGCCATTTTGCTGCATTACTTCCACAACTCGGTCAGGTTTGCTTTTCGGGGGTATATCTAATAAGTATATAGATATACCGATATGCAATGTGTTATTTAAAGGTTTTGATTGGCCAGGTTTGAGGGGTTTTCTTTTTCTCTATCAAATATGTTTGAGTCAGCCAGTAGATATTGGTTCCAACATACCTTGAGTCAACCAAATAGTATATCAGATATGTGCACAGGGCATCTTGGGGTTTCAGTGATCTTAAGCGTTGGTAAACTGATATTGTTTAAGCCATAACAGTTCCTACTCCGGCCAAAGGCCGGAAAATGCTTGTATGGGATAATACTGTTCCACTTTGTTCAGTCTTGGCGCTTTTTACAAAAACAGCCAATTTCAATCTCTTATAACTTCATGACCATGATAGATATCAAAAATCTGTAAGGTAAAAATCATGTTCATTATTATGGGGCGGTAAATGTGTCAAAAGTAATTTTACCAACGGTAGTAAATTATCTTACCACTGGTGGTGAAAATAATACCAGTATTTATACCCTATAATGCTAATTTTTATGATAAAAGCACAGACCTTTTGACACATTTACCGCTCCATACACTATTACTATACTTCTTACCAATTTTTTCTATCTTTTTTGGTGAGGAAGTTATAAGCGATTGATCTTTCGTCACCCTTGGTTACCTTTAGAGTGGGCGCACCATACATTATCAGAGAACAAGCGAGTGATAGCCTGTGATTGTGGTAACCCACCGAGTGATATTCGGTGATGCATACACTTTCAGATCAGATATATTTTCAATAGCATAAAAATAGCAGATTTAAACTCGCTCTCTTTAAGGGCCAGTGTGGTCCACGATGACGAGTGTCCTTGTGTTCTTGCCTCGAGGATATGTTCTCGATGACAAACGAGGACAGTGGTCCAAAAGGACAAGGGGCCTCGAGGACAATGACTGTCCTTGCCTCGAGGACTTCCAAGGACAATTCTTAGCTATAATACACACATTATATATACTAATAGAATGAGGTCATTAATAAAATATACCTTTCATTTTAAGATTTTTGTTCTACCGGGTCGTTTTTTATCGTTCTCGAGGTTCCTCAAGGATAGACAAGGACAGAGGTTAACGAGGATGAGGTACCTTGAGGACACCCCCAAACCTCGCCTAGAGTATCCTCGTGGGCTCCACTGTTAAGACTTCCTTAAGATAATGCTAAGAAAACGAATTTTCATGGGAAATCGAGGTATTGGCGCACGGCAATATCCCTCAACTTCCAGCGGATACCACAGCACACACAATCAAAATTATCAAGCTTCAAGATATTGTAATATAGACACTACTTCAGTATTATTATAAGTTCCAAGGGTTATCAACTAGCGTTGATTGCTGGCGAGAGCTTTAAAAAGTCAATTTTGGTACGTTTTGGCCAATTGGGCGTTATATCCTAGGGCTTTTAGTTTTAACATAGAAGGGGTATTCAATTTTAGAAATATATAAATATACCTTTATAACGCTGCAATATTACAATGTTGCTTATATGGCACTGAATTTTTCAAACATTTAAATACTTCTGGATGCACATGCCATGTTGTAGGAGGAAATATGTTACTATATTAATTTAAGATTTGTGCTTAGTGTACTCTACTAGTCAATCATCTTTATATGATACACATATATGGTCTATACTTTGGAAAATAAGGTAGGTTGGTGATGCTTATTTTTCTCGTTCATATTTCAGAACACACGACCGCTGACTGTTCTAAGCGGTCAATATGTCGAGCACATGCCAAGTATATAGCTATAAAAGCGCTAGCACGTATTTAAAGAAGTGAATACCCCGAGAGTTATATATATATATATATAATCCACACTATACAATTCTTTCTGAACAGCAGAACTCATTGGATGGGTTGTAACTCAATGGAGATGGAGAAACCACTAAGCCAATATTGGTTAAAATATCACGATCCCGCCTCCATCTCATGAAAAGATGTAGCGAGCATTATAGTACGTAGGGCGCCTAGCTGGTGTACGTCTCAAACCCAATATGATATTACAATAAATGACCAGATACTTTGCACACTCATGATGTCACCTTGTAAATTTAGTCAAACCTCTTAAGATTTTGATTTGGCGCAATCACCATATAGAGCTGCATACCTACTCACTAACGGGGTGACGATAGATAAATAAATCAATGAACTCAGGCACTGGTCACGATGAAATATGCTCTATGGCAATCCAAGACTTGAGGCACATATCCCGTCCAATTAATTGACACCTCTTATTCAGTACAATTATTGCCTGACCTAGAATGTACACATCTCAGATCAGAATATGTGATTGCCAACCATTTTAGGCGGTCAATATACGGAGGTGTTTATGAAAACCTTTGCAGATGGCCTCTACTTATACACCCTAAGCACTTCCGCGGTATCCCTACGAACTTCCAACTTACAAAACTATGAGAAGGTATACGTATGTATTACCCCCAATGCATCATTATAGTGGCAACAAAAAACCCCGCAACAGTAACCTACCGCGTCAATAACTACATAAGCCAGTGAGTGAGCCAAGGGGTAACGAGATCAGACTGCTATAGGCACCCAGACCTAGTGATTTGTTTTGCTATGTAGAGGTCAGGTGGCCCTACCCTATTCCCACGTCGCCTTGTTCATTATTTTCCAGCCCTTTAATGTAAAGTCATCGGTTCTCTGTGTTCTCTGCCTTTTGTTGATATTGACCCATTGAGCCTTTAAAACGTCCAGTGTATTTGTAGACGTGAATACACGATTCTATATTGTAGATCTCATTATCAACCAATACAATCTTTGACAATCACAGGTTTCTCAGGCGATTTGGGTATTCAATATTTCTCAGAACGGATTACTTTGCACAAGCAGTGTTCTAGATCAGAATACCAAAATCCCTGTTCACGAAAGATATTCTCCTGCGTTTTTAAACCTTCTCTGACGCCATGGTAAATCCGCTCCAGATGATCGGTGAGAACATCTTCAGTGACCTCTGGCCAGTGATGCTCTTCTATATCCTTAATCAGTCCATCCCAAGTTCCCGAACCACCCTTCTTCTCCTTCACTGATCGTTCAACCCTCTTAGCCAAATCTCTAGCTGTCGGCGGCGCCACGATCCCGTCAAGCTCTGCAAGATCGCATGCGAGTAACCACTGAAATATTGACCCGGGACTGTGAAAAGGAATGCCCGCCTCCCCGATTAGTTCAATCATCCGCTTGAATAAAATGACACTGCCCCCCATCTTCTTTTCTTCACATATTCTTGCAAACAACTCTGGAACTATGTTGAATATCTTTTCGATGTGCCCTGGGATGTGTTTCGGATTAAATCTCACATTTCCGTAAGCTGGTAATGAGTTGACCCCAAAACCAGTAGATTTTTTGTAGGCTACTCTAGCCTCAAGGACATCTTTGGGGGTCTTTACGGTTCCTAGGGAGATGATTAAGTCCGGGTGCCCAAAGGCGTATAGACGCATGATCACCCAGCGAATTAAAAATACTGCATTGACCTCTGTATCTACAGAAGGCAAAAGAGTATTTCTGATTGCAATGAAGCTAGGTCCTGACGTCCGGAATGCGAGTAGTTTATCGGCGAGGAGGGTAGAACGTGAGATTGCAGAAGCGTAAGCCTGAAAATCAGGGTGGACTCGCCGCAGCAATAACTGGTTTTGACGCAGACGGAGGCCAGAAAGAGATTTGGAGATGACAGTAAGGATATTGATTTTGGTGATTTGTCGAGAAGTTAAAGAGTTTCCAGATGGTTCTACAAGACACTCTGGAGAGGGAGATGATGCTGTGTTTGATGTGTCTAGAACAACTGGAGGTATCTCTGAGATTTTCTTGGGGGTTGACGACTGTTCATCTTTTCTTTTCGAAAGTCCTGCTGACCCCACCCCTCTGGAACGTGGTCGAAGTATCCGGCCGCCTTTATCCTCTTCGTGAGTAGAGTCGGGATACGCTTTTCTTTTCCCCATTACTGAGGTGAGATGTAGATAGGAGAGGAAGATCAGTTCAGCGAGGTTAGCTGGTCAGAAGACTGGAGAAGATGCGGAACAGAGGCACGCACCGCAGCTCAAATAGAAAGTTATCGTGGCCACGTCATATTCCTCAGGAGCAAAGGCCCAAATCACACTCATGTGTACAACTTTCAGAAGTTCTATTATATACATATTACATGTGCTAGGCCTGTTCAAGATTACCTGAACGCAAAATGCGATTTGCCGTACTACATGTAGTTAGCAAAAAACTCTAAAGAATAACATGCATGGGCGTATGCTGTACCGATAAATAATGCACATAGATGTACACCCCCCCCCCAAAAAAAAAAAAACACACATGGACATCTACTTAGTAAATGTATATATCCCCTAGAAGTTGCGTCTTCTCGAGCTCATACCTGACGACATGTGAAAACACCCAGGACACCACGCAACGAGCAATGGAAAGTTAATATTATGAAGGCACTTTTACTGCTTTACGGTCGAGCTCGTGGATTAAAGGGAAAGAATTTCTTTATCCTTATCTAAGATATACACTTGCACACGTACGTAAGGGGTACTCTGATCTAAGAACCCATAAATCCCCTCCAATCTCGACATACATCCCATGCTTCAGGTAACGTTTCTGCAAGGCTAATTATGTACAGCCGCATTCGAAGAGTTTTGGCACCTCCAGGCCAAACTAACGAGGCAGTCCTTTCTGCTTTGCAATTCTCATATTCGAGACCGTTGTCAGAGAGATTTAGAGCTGCAATGTCTCTATTGCGGTCATACCTGTCAATAAGTTGAGTATGCGCGAGTGCCATGGTTGTTGGTGGGCTGCAATTCATGAACGACTCAATATAGCAGGGTGCCAGTACTTTTCGAATGCGGCTGTACATGTAATTATTTGATTACAAGTAGCTGTCCTGGCGTTAAATTATATAGCAGCTCTAAAAGACCGTTCAAGACAAAAAAAGTAAGCCTAGACTCCTCTCACGGTGAGGAGAGGATATGGGAGGGCCAGGCTCGCCCCGTCTCACGTGATTACCGTCCGTGAGGAAAATCGAGTGAGAAGTCGTGAGTCAAGATTTAATACAGATCCTCGGAAAAAGCAATCTTAGGGCCATCTTGGAGAATTAACTGCGTTAAGCAATGGTCCCGCTAGCAACCTGCGAACTGAGAAATCTTTAAATGGAGTTTTGGCGCGCTAGATACAGATACCGTTTGTACAAGTTTTGTTGAAAAGTAGCTCAGAGTTTTACCTGCTAACCTTCGTTTAGGCGTTCCAAACACACCCATAAATACATACATACATATATCTGCACTGAATGGAATACTGTATCATCACAGCACTCTGGCCGTATGTGTAACAGAAGTGCGCGTGATACTGCAGCTGTACCATTGCATCCACTTTCTCGGTTATACTGTAATTATAGTATACGCACCCATATCTAACTTGTAAGTTATATACATGTACTTGTATCTACATATACTACATGTGCTATATGCTTAGTACGTACTTGCAGCGAGAATAAGTTTCCGCTAAATTTGTACGTGAAAATGCGGTTGCAACACAAAAGTGATGGCGGAAACTTATTCTCGAAGCAAGCACATGTACATATATGTACATATGCTCTTTTAGAGCCCTTTTATAATTATCACATCATCATATTTTTATAATATAATAGTACCGGCGGCCGGCCAGATCAATGGCACAGTCATTTGTATGGATGAGGACGAGCGCTAGGCCTAAAGAAGGCAGAAAGATAAAATATCAATTGGCTGTTTCTTGATATATCAAGAATCCGTACAATTCGAATCCGTTATAACACATGTACTCTACACCCGTAGGTGGCTGTAGTGCAGTATTAATTCATATCGCCCAGGCCATATATTGAGCTAGTACGTACTGTAGTACTGCGGTATTGTCATAAATTCGGCAAAATAACGTTATATATAACGCCAATTAGTTCGTTATCGAAATAAGCAGCAGCGCCTGTAGTGATACACTCCCTGTCACGTGCACTGGTCACGTTACTCTCTTTGCTGGCCACCAATCACGGTTACCCGACCCCGTCCCATACATGTTGCTCGTCGGGCTCACCTCCGGCTCGGCCCTGATAATTATCACCATGGTAATAATCATCATGACTACATGTACGGGGGTTAACATTAAATACCGAGAATCTGATAAGATAAACACACCTATTTCACAGCAAGATTCTCTTATCAGATTCTTCGTATTTACCGTCAACGCCCGGTACATGTCCATGTATCGTGATCGTCAGCTTTGAGTAGGGTTAGTACGTACGGGTACATTTCAATAGATTGAATACAAAGAATTTATAGAAGATAAAGATCGAAATTATTCTCCAAATTAAACCTTTATCATATCCCAAACTGACAAGAGATGGAGATGTTGACGGATCCATGTAAAGTTTGATCATGATATTGTTTTACCATGAAATAGAGTCTATACATAAACATTTTTGCGTGCAGGTATGTACATCCCAATTAATACCACATGTACCTACATAAGATGTACGTATTTGTACCTCTACACCTTGAAAGCTGCAATGTAATAGGTGTATAATTGAGATGATGCGTGTACCCCTATATAAGTACATGTATGTACATACATGGTAAACAGGTGTGAGTGATATAAGTACAACATTTCATTCAAGCAATGCCATAGCAATACCGCAAGAGTAATTCGTAACCCCCGAAAAGCGAATGTGGTAGATTTATCCCATTTCCCGGTACTGTACCGGAGTAGGCACATGTATGTCTGTGTATGCAAGCCTGTCAATGGCGAGGTCATGCCAAGGGATAGCTTGGCACATCCATAAATACGCGCAGCAAACACCACAACCTTTGTTCATCATCAACAACCAGTGAAAGAGAGAAGGAAAGGGACTGTTTACATTCTTGTGTACGGAAGACTCATTACAGGGTCTAGGATTGAAAGCCTGTACTTCACTGAGTATCAACCACAAAACTCCCCTTCCCCTTTCTGCCCGCCCTCATTACCATCTTTCAAGTCCCCGCGCTTCACCCACTTCTTCGTAAACTATATTCCATAGCTGGCCCCATCAGTTCAACTTCTTTCCAGCACAACGCGACAAAAATCCAGATCCAGTTACCCAGTCCAATCTTGTAAAAAAAAAACCCCTAAAAAATTCGGAGCTTCCCCGCAACACTAGCAGAAATGGCATCATACAATGATGAACAAGTCCTTTCAAAGCTCAGCGCTTTGAATGAGACGCAGGAAGGTATTATGACAGCGGCACAATGGATCATGTTCCACAGGTATGCGAAAACTTTCAAAGACCGGTTGATGTGTTGAATCATCAACTCCGAGATCGCCGGTTGGGTGGAAATCGAACGTGGCTAACATTGCGTTAATGTAGACGAAGCGCGAAACGCACCGCTGAGCTCTGGTTGCAACGTTTGAAGGAGTCCACGGCTCACAAGAAGCTAAACTTGATTTATCTTGCAAATGGTGAGAACATCCATCCAGTCATTTCCTTGGAGTACTGACAGGTTTTTTTTCTTCTTTCCTCATAGAAGTTGTTCAACAATCGAAGGCTCGACGTAAAACAGACTTTGTCGTTGCTTTCTCTCCGATTATCCCTGAGGCGTGTGAAATCGCGTACAAGGGGGCACCTCCGGAGATCCAAAACAAGATCAAGCGCGTCATACAAGTCTGGCGTGAACGTTCAATTTTTGAGGTTGTTACTCAGGGTACAATCGAGAAGCGTTTAGACGGTACTTTCGACTCTTATTCCTTTAATGCGGATTTAGCTAAACATTCTTAGACGTCGATCATGGCAAGTCCGGTCCTTCTTCTGGCGCAGGAGCTCGTAAGTTTGGTGGCGGCGGACTCTTCGGTGGCTCTCTTGGCGGCGGCAGCCTTGGTGGTAGCGGTACATCAAACGTCCCATTAGAATTTACACCTATAATCAACAGTCACAAGGGCCTCCAGACCAAGCTTTCTTCATCTACAATAGCAGTTGGTATGGCAAACACCGAATACCAAAAACAGTTCGACACCGATACTCTCCCAGTACCCCCGGTATATGCAGCACGTCTTTCTTCCCTACTCAAAACTTTAGACAATGCCCATATAGCTGTGAAAGGGGCTATCGAGGCTCGTGAAGCACATATCCGAAATCTTGAAAAACTCTTACAGGCTAGCAAAAAAGCTTTGGAAATTGAAAAGGACAAATTCAACGATATTACCGAAAAACGACAAAAGACTGAGTCGACCAAGGTGGAGGTTGAAATGATGATTTTACGAGACATGGAAGAATCCAAAAATAATGGCGGCGACGGAATGGATATTAGCCATGGAAATCATACCTCAACTTCACCAGACGACCTTAAATCTCCTGAAATCGAGGCTTTAACACCACCTCATCAAATCAGCTTTGAACCTCCTCCACCACCATCCGCTAGTGAGGCCCACCATCAACATTCGATAGCTCCGGCAGTACCACCCGAACCTCATGTCTTTCACCAGGGTGCCTCTGAATTACTCGCCAGTTTATCTGCCCCTTTAAATGGTGGTGGACTGAAGAGAGAGAAAAGAGAGGATGTGAATATGTTTGAAGGTCTCGATGACGACGTGGCAGACATGTTCAGAAATGATGCGCAGATGAGTGGGCAGTCCACAAACAAGAGGATGAAGATTGAGGACGACGACGAATATCATCCATAAACTTCATGTGGACCTCCTTAAAGACACTGGATATGTTTATCGGGTCTCATTGGATTCTGGTCAGCTATGACCTTTCTTTGTATTCGATTTTTCCACTTTACTTTCAAGCTAGAGACAAATACATCGAGAATTGGATCCGCATTACCTATTGTTTATGACAATTCATGCCGAATATGGCTAGTGTTCGTCATTTTTTTCTTTTATTGACTGGCTTTCTGTATATATTTTGGTATCTAATATCTCTTATCTCTTATGAAATTAATTCATCTTTGTAATAGGGGCTTAAGCTTACTGTGTAAGATAAGTACATGTGTGTATGTAACAAACATACACCGAGTGACTTTTCATGAATTGAAGTAATCCCCAGAAATGCCACGATCATCAGGTTTACATTTATCGCGATTGACAGAATATCTAGTGCTTTGAAACTGTAATCTCTGCTTGCACTGTAGATACTCTTTCAAGGTTTTGATTCGTTTTTTCCGAGGATTTATGCTTCATTTTATATAAATTATAGACTGTTAACACCTTCCTTGCATGCAAAAACTGGCCTCGGTGGCCGGTCGCATAAGACGTTAGAATTCCTCTATTGGGTTATTTGTCTCGAATACGACCCTAACCTCCTCCCCCCATACTGGCCTACAAAGGAAGCTTCGACGTCCTGTGTGACCGGCCACTGAGGCCAGTTTTTGTGGTATGGGGTGGGGGGGGGGGGGGGGGCGCTGCCTGGTATCGTCAGAATTCCGACAGGAGGGGCTAAGCTAGAGGAAATGCTGCGCAGCAACTTCCACCGACCAGGATATTAATTAATATTTTTGAATTAATACATATTACACATGAGATATGTGGTGGGCTTCTCTACCACAAAAGTCTTACGTGCCTCCCTGTGTGGACACTGCTCCGGTAAAACTGATTCTACGCACGTGGCGGGGGATTGTAAGGCCATGGTATATTATACATGTAGTATGTCCATGTGTATATGTAACTACATGTACATTTACACAAGTGGACGCTGGCCTTCGGCCAGGTGTTATACATGTATACATAGTAGGACGTAGATGAAAGCCGCTGCGCTGCGCGGCTTATTCTTCGACTTTGTCCGCCCGTCGGGCTCAGCTTTCGCCCCTCCGGATCCTGCTGGGTAAAGTACTCGATTAAATGAACCCTACGATTATTCCTAAGCATATATATATCATTAATATGATTCAAAAGATCAAATATTAGATATATACGAAGGTATGTCTATCCCATAATTACCTGATTTAGTAATAGAAAAAACCTGTTCTATCAATACCAGCCTTTGCTTTTTTACTCCAGAGCTGACAATACCTAGTACATGACACCTAAGGCTTTCTTCAATTATCAAACAAACCTCTAGAATCAACTAATTAAAAGCGTTAAAGAGTATATATATGCGTATTAGGCACCGACCGTTATAGCTATATACATATGCAGGTGCTTATTAGATATTGAGAGAGAGCTACTATATTTTGATAGATCTAGAGGTGAATAGTACATTATATGAAACTCAAGTAGCTTCACTACTATTTGACGTCCTTAAAATAGAGTATTTATGCGTTATTATCTGGATATATATCAAAAGGCTTAGGTGTAAAAGTTGCGTGACTGTACATACTACAGTACGAAAAACAGGGTGAAATCACTACCATGGTACTGCGGAAACTGGTGAAGAACACAGATTTTTAGCACTGTACATGTAGTTTAAGGTATACGTATGTCCATTGAGAACAACTTGAACTCGCCATTTATTGATTTTTAAACCTCTTAAAAGCTCCAATTGTGGGTAAATACATGTAATTGATCACTACATGCGATGTATGCATGTGTAACTGAACATTAATATTTGTAAGCTAGCCTCAAAGGTTTTCGCACGTTACATGTACACTATTGCAGAATTCCTTAATTCCTAGCTGTCAAAATTTGTCAAATGTATAGAAATATGATGTAGACCTTCATGTCCTTCGAATTCAGGTGTAGGGGAAAGGCTGGAGAACCGCTACGAATACAGATTTTACGGAAACAATTTTACCTCGCCGGAGCAGGAACTCTAGACTAATTTCCAGGAATGGTTCAGTCTGATCTTTAGGGCCTAGGGGCTAATTGATACCTCTACCACGTGCACACCGTAGTAGTATACTCCAAATAGCTCGAATCCCGGCAACCCGATAATCGCGAAAGAGCTTTAAGCTGATCATTTATTTGTAGTACAATAGAGCGTATTTGCCAACCGTCAATTTCAAGAATTTACAAATTGTGGGGCTCCGAAATGGCAACCGGGGCTGTTAATTTTGAATTTCGGTGGGCGGCGTGCTGTGAGATATACCAGGAGGATCACAAGTACCCAGTTTTGTTACTACCGAAGCTAGTATCATGGGTATGAATTTTCAGTTCCAACAGCGTACTTCACAGGTAGTGTGATGGGTTGTCTGGTTTCGGGGTTTATTCTGTCATACCGTTAACCAGATCGATTTTGGCCACTGCGGGGAACTGTCAATTTTGCCTCCCGAAACTGTCAAGTTTGAAGTGTCAATAGTTGAAATTGACGGTTGGCAAATACGCTCTAATGAAGACGTTGGTACAGGGTAGAAGCCGATGGCGAGGGCCGGGGAGGGGGTGCAGCGAAGTCTGTGTCTACCCAAAGACGGACGCGCCGTTCCACACCACTATAATCGCGGAAAATGATCCTCATTGGACAATCAAAACAACCAATAAAGACTTTGCTTGGCATTGAGCTACTTAAAGAGGCGGGCATCCCACCTCCAAATGAAGCTCTTCTTCTTCATGAACTCTCGATAGTTAGATGAAGAACACGTCATCCCTTGTTCGTCGTTATTGCTACCCTATACCCAACAAAGCCTCTACGGCCAGCATTCGCCCTATTGTCCCAGCGACCTGCTGCCTGTCTTGCTGCCAACATGAGCGAGTCCCTTGGGACCTCTCCCCCCAGTCCTGAGCCAGGCCCAAGTACGCCACAACAACATCAGTCGACGCCACACCTCAGGGTACAACATTTGAGTCCCCCCACATCTTATTCCCTGACAGCCACAGATCTACGTCAGGAGTCCGATGATGCTGTGACTTGCATTGTATGCCTCAGCGACCTTCCACAGGACTCTATCCCTGTTACTGGAGAGTACGATCCTGTGGCTAGATTGGTTCCTTGCAATCATGCCATGCATAACAGCTGTCTGGTACCTTGGATGGAGAGGGCCAATAGTTGCCCTATCTGCCGCGCAACTTTTAATGAGGTCTCGGTTTCAGCCACACTTTCTGGTATTTGCTCTTCCCCCTATAAGAATGCGGGGATCATTATACATTTTCTAATATTTTCTCACTAGGTCATATTCTCGAAACTTACCCGGTTGAAGATAGAATACAGGTCACCGAGTACGAGAGTCAGACTTTGAATCACGACGAGGAAGACGAGGAAGTAGAGGGGGCATGTGAAGTTTGCATCCGTGATAACAACGAAGACGTCCTCTTGGTTTGTGATGACTGCAGCAGATCTTATCACACTTACTGCCTCGGGCTCGATGCTATCCCTCAGCAAAACAGCTGGTACTGCTCAAGATGTTCCGAGAGGCACATAGCGGCTCAGCTCGCTGGCTTTCAACGCTCCGGAAGGAGGAGAGGTGTGAGGACTGTCGGTGAAATTCGCCGTGTGCGACGGCAAGACCAGCGTGATATGGCATCGCGTGAAGACCGAGCTTGGCAAAACGCCTGGCAGCGTTTAGACTCAGACCTTGGGGAGCGTGCATTGTCGGCTGCCGTGGCCGCCGAGCAACGCATAACAAATCAGCGCGATGCCCAAGTGGAACGTATGATACGTCGGCGTGAGGTGGCAGCTGCTCAAATTGGCGAGGGACGTAATGGATTTAACGAACAACTAGCGTGGATGATACCAACCTCGCGGCCTAGAACATTCCCGGATCACCAACAGCCGATCAGTGAGGAAGAGCAATCAGCATGGAGAATGTTCGATATAGCGGAAGGAATAGAAAAATCACCCTGTAAGAGAAGCAGAAGAAACAGCCAAGAGATAACTAGGTCACCCGGATCAGATAATGACGAGAAACCTAGGCGGAAAAGACCGAGAACCAGACGTGATTCCCAATTGATTGATGGGAGCACCATGAATACTGAGGCGTCTTCAGGCAGTTCTACAGTTCCAGCAATACCCACAGTCCCGTCCACAGCCCCAGCTACATCCATGGGCGATAGAGAACAGTCAGGCTTTGTTCCTATGGCTTCAGGAAGTTATCTAGGGCATATATTGGAAAGCATTGCAAAATCCGCCGAGACAGCAGCGCCGGATCCCCCTCAGGTAGGACTTTGGGGAATTGATCTCAGTAAAATGCGACCTTTATCCCCAGAACCATCCAATGCTGCTAGTCCCCGTAGTCGACCAACTTCCCCAGTTGCTCAATCCCCATACATAATTCCATCCCTCTTGAGAAGTAGGCCTCATTCACCTATCGAGACAAGTCAAATGCCACTTTCTCCGTCATCCCCTACTCGAAGAATACCAATCACTTCGCACTTACAGCCAGCTCCTACCCGAGCGTGGGAGTCATCGTCATCACCACCCACTAGCCGGGCAAACTCGCCGATACAGCGACAACAGCAACGTACATTCTTAGACGAAGACCCTGGGTCTGATGATGCTCGAGGCGGGGCATCATCTTCTTCTGATACAGATTCAATTAGCAAAAAGCACCGGCATCATCGTAAGCATGGGGGAATACGCTCAGCAATTACACCCCAGGTCAAGGCAGACATAGCAAATATGGTCCGCTCGGTTCTAAGGCCTTACTATCCTGAAAAGCTATCGAAGGACGATTTTACTCAAATTAACAAGAGTGTGTCTCGTAAGCTATATCAGCTTGTGGAAGCCGATGAGGACTCGGATGTAGCAGGTGATAAGGAAAAGTGGATCAAGGTCGCGGAGGAGGAGGTAATGTTGGCTGTTGAATGCCTGTAACCTTTGCATGAATGTTTTTTGCATTCCTTCTATTATCTTCTGAGTGCTATCTAGCTAGTTTTTATCACGTCCTCTATTTTCGTTTGTCTATTCCTTGGTTTCCCTCTTTTGGGGGTCATTTGGCGCGGAGTTTAGAGATTTTTCTGTTTGTTCATAATTTCTACATTTTTTACTCTGGGTAGCTGTTTGGGTGATTTCTCTTGAGAATTTTTTTTTTCTTAAAAGTGTACTGCTTCCATTTTCATGGGAGAGATGGAAATTGGCGTATTGCGAGACAAGGGAAGATATTTGGGATCGATCTGCGAAATCCTACCTTTAACGATAACTAACTCTCCAACGAGCTTTAAGTCAATACCTAATCGATCCAAAAGGTATTTATTCGCACCCACTAGTGCAGTTATTTGTGTTGACCAATTTATCAATATCGCAGATCCCAAATTATAACGGATATACTATTGCTAGAAATACTTTGCGTAGTAAATATCTAGGACAACTAGGAGAATCGGAATACAATTCCGATATCCTCCTCGGTGGAATATCTTGACTCCGTCCCTGAATGCTCAGTAATCATCTAGCTGATTAATGTTTTCAGACTTGTTCACGAGTATATCCAACACCTTGAACAGGAAATACAAATACATGTGGGTACCTGGAATGGGGAATATTCATGAATTATCACTCGCCAGAATACCCAATGTGTGCTAGTCGCATTACTTCGTAACGTGATCCATGATACACAGTCTTAGACATATATTATTACTCCGAGCCCTATAACTTCTTTAACATCGGCTAACTAAAGCAAAGACCTTAGGATAATTTCCCCCCTTAATAATAATCATAATTAACTCTACTAGTCCTTCTTAGGGAAACCCCAACACTCAAAGACCAATGTTTAGCCAATGTTATTAGGTTATCTTAAGGGTGTCTCTGAGTTTTGCTAGTTATTAACACTACGAGTCCACTAGGCGGAGAGGCGATTGTGTGGCCTTAACTTGAATGGTTTCCAGCTTTGTAACCGAAAAGAATACTTTTGGAATCTTTTTACTAGCACGAGGTTGCTCATAATGATTAACCTTAGTAGCTATCAAGCTCGACAACGCTACTTCTATCCCCCCCCCCCTAGCTCCAAACATAGCATACCGCAACTAGTTCTCTTTCGTCCGTCCTACGCTCTGTTTTTCCCTTATCTATTTTTGGATCGACTCTTTTCCGAGGGGTCTCCCCGTCTCCCTCCCACATTGACTTATTGGATGAGATCGAGAGTTTGAAAGTTTGAGAAAGAAACGGTTGAAGTATATGGGGTTTTCTTTCTTTTCTTTTGCTTTTATTATTGATTGGTTTCCAATTAGTCTACATCAGCTTCTTTATCCTCCTTTTGCATTCCTCGAGATTTGGATTTTTAATGAGTGGGGTTCTGTTTTCGAATTAATAATACGAGTGGTCCTTGGGCCTGCTCACGTCGAGCCAAAACTTGTACTTAAGATCGAAATGATGGTTTAACTTTCCTATCCTGATCTCGAAATTTGCGAAGAGGTGGGGTGACTTAATAGTCAGTGGCCTAGTATAAGGCCTTCCTTAGAGGGCTTTGAAGGAGTTCGATAGAGGATTTCGAGAAGTTCCACAATTGTAGAGTTAAGGCATACGATTAATTTCTTCCTCCTCTATATAGCTACGTGAATCCCGAAGCAAATAGATATAAAAGTACTCAAGATTGTTAATCCTTCTTATTTAACTGTGATCAACGAGATACTAACAGCAACTAGGAAAGGTTGGATTTGTCCCAAATAAACCAGAATTTATATGTCACTTAGTACTAGCTACTATCCCCTAATCGATAGATTCTGCGACTGATATTTTGGTGATGAGGGGCATGATTTTGTTAGTACAAAGTACAATCGACTCGCCCTATAGCTGCTTTATATAAGGGGTACAGAATTGTCGCAAACTCGTCTCTTCATAGAGCGGGTGTCTTTATAGACAGGGCGAGCTTGTACCTAGGCCTATGATGCCTAACATAGGCCGAGAACTCGGACCATTATAATGTAGTTACAAGCGTAGTGCAGTGAGGAAACGGGGGTATTGTGATAGTATTTTCGGGCTATTACATAATATCGGGTTGTCGAAACGTATAGGTACTCATCTCTCCTCGAGGGTAATCTGTGATATTAACTCAAGTATGTACGTACTAAGAACTATATGCTAAAGAAATGCAAATGCATTCACTATAAGTTAGTTCTTTCAATGTATATAAGTACATGTAGGTGCCGCTGCGCGGCACACCGACCCCTCCTTGCTCGCCGACCTGTGGTATGTAGTTCATGATAAAAAGCTATCGGGGAAATTCGAAGTTGATATAAGAATATAGCTTATGTAGAGTGGTTCTTTGTCTAATGATATGCATGCAATTGCAATCGATATTAGAAATAATACGCAACCAATAGAAAACGTTCCTGGTGACGATGAGGAAGACTATATAGTTTAGTTTATTATATAATAGTTTATTAAAAAAGATATACTTTTTCACCCCACGAAGAAGGGTCGGCAATATTGAGACAGTAAAAAGGGGCTTCTATCCTTGTCTAGGAATTATATTATAATCAAGTGCGAGCCTACATGTATAGACCTGTCTACCCAGGCTACTATCATAGATCAAAAATGTGGTTTAAATCCCCCGGCCCCGTATGCAATAAAATGAAGGGTAGTTAAGTCCTCTGTTGCCGCCTAACTTTGATCATATACTATCTGTTGCTTTAGTAGGTACTTTATCTGCGTCTTGGAAATATACGCTATGATTCTCCGAGTGACCTTCTATGATGGTACATAAATGCCCAAACACGAAACCTATGCTACAAGCATACAATAACTTCAAGGAGAAATAGGGAAAGCTAAACGCCAATAATTTATGCCACCTCCGATTCTTTTACTGCTTTTCCAGCTACCAATCTTGACATGGACCACCGCCCTACCAATAATAAAAATAAACAAAAAATAAAAAAGCACTCGCCCAATTTACAATGATAATTGTCTACTATGTGCTGTGATTTATTCCGAATACTCATGCTCTTTGGGGGCCTGCCATCTCTCAATATGGCCACGAATGAACTCGTAGACCATAAATGTCACAGCCTAATGATTCAGTTTTAGATACTAGCTTAGAAAAGGATAAAGATCTGGATTTACCTGTCCTGGGGCCACCCGCATGATTCTAGGAGTAATTCCCTGGTAAAACGCCCGGAATCCTTCATGTTTGAACATGTCTTTCGAAATGGCGATAATTCTTGATGCCGCGCTCTCGCCCGGAATGGCTGTCGACCGCTGAAGACGGGTCTCTGCATATGGTATAAGTATCCGCCAGTATACTGCTAGCTTAGGTCCACTCACTAATGGTATCAATTGGCGCATTCGATAGAGGTCCCATAGCTCCGGAAATGAGACCCAATACCAGATGTTGGTAACTGGGCAGCTCTTTCAGGTCTGGTTGAAATTCCTGTGCAAATTTCTTCATGTATGTGTAGGCCGTAAAGTTCACGGCCTGATTAGTTGCCTGCCTAACTGCAGTAAGTGTAACTCCACGGTAAAGTGTGAGAAACCCTTCCTCGCGGACAACAGTGTAAGCGGCATGTGCAGCATTACGATACTTTGGAACATCAAGAGGGTCTGCCATGGAGTGATGTTGCGCTTGTAATCGGATCTTAACAACTTCCATGGGGGTTACGACGGCGACGGCTTCCGTTGCTCCTGCCATGAGACCGGCTATAGGCAGCTTTCGTTAACATATATATCCGATATATCTGAGGTGCAAAGATTTTGCATACAGAGAAACACAGCCTTCGCCGATATAGCGCCAGTATCGGGATTAATCTTGGCCAAACTTTTGTAGAACTCGAAACTCGAGAACCGGATGGCCATTTTAGGCACAATTCCTGTAACAACGGCTCCAAGACCTTTGTAAAGACCTAATGGTGTTTCCTTCTTGACAATATCCTTCCCAACAGCAAAGAATCCTTTCCGTTTTACTCCTGGAGCACGGTTACGCCGAGACAGCTGCATCCGCACCTGTGATTTGATTATATGTTAGTCGGGAACGTCTCCATTTCCATAAATAAGATTTGATGGACCTTGATGGTATCTAGAAAAGATCGTCAGCGATATTTTATCGTAAAATGACTTAGAAATTCTTACCCAGCGGGTGGCATGCGAGCGCCTCACAGAGACCCGCTCCTCCACCAGCTACAAGAACCTCATGTCAGCACATAATGGTAAGGGTCACGGATTTATCATTATGGGTAATAACCAATCAAAGTGACTGCCATCGTAGGTCTTTTTTTCTGTTCTGCAGGAGGCATGACTGTTGATATCTACTAAACAGATTGAAATATCAGGATGTACTGGACTCAAGTTGGCCACTGCTCAAAGAACTTAATGAGGACTAAAAATTGTTGACGGTAAGGTACTGAATTATAGAGGGGACAAGGCAGAGAATAAGAGGTGTGACAGGCTTGTTGGGGGATTATAAGACTTGAGTGAGAACGGGTGAATGTGAGTAACGAACTAGAGGAAGGCTGGAGGAAAGGCTTGCTATTGTAGATTCAGATCCGCCTTCCAGAGCCGAGGATGAACCGAGAGAGATCGTTCACTCTCCCTCTCTTTCCGGGGAATGGAAAGCACGGGCCAATAATTTCACATTGCCCTGCATCAGTTGCAGCAATGATCTTTTCTTTTCCCGCGCACCTCGTGGTTATATTCCTCAATGCGATCCCCTCTTCTCTTTCAGCTCCCCTTCCTCACCTCCGGAATCTGAGACTGAGACGGCTTGACCAAGTTGCTTCGGGCCAGCGGGGTTGGGGGGGGGGGGGGGGGGCGTGATCGTAATAGCAACTAACAATGGTATAAAGCACCCCGAGACGTCACTGTAGTTCTCCAAAAACAAAGTCAAGATATCCAACCCAAAAGAGGTTGTTTCTACGGCCCGAGGTTGGGTCCGGACGGGCGCAATCGGAATTTACCATGTTCATGCACGCGCTATCACATGGTGGGAAGGATTTTCGGCGAAACCAGGAACGAAGAAACGCGAACAAAGAACAAACAAATGCATGTGCCTGTCTACTCTCCTCTACCTAGCGGAAGTGATTTGTGGGGTATTTAGGATATACAAGTATTCGGGAGAGTTCACAAGCGAGATCGGAATATTTATGAAGGTGCCAATCCAATGTCACGCGAGTTCAGACAGGTACTTGGGTTTTTCCCCAGAGGGAGTCTTTTCTTTGAGCCTCATAATAACTTTACATGGAACAGACCGTTTGAGTGATCTCAAGATCCGTAACCCTTACCCTCCACCCTACACCCCGCACTTGTAGCAACATGCCAATAGTGGCTTACGAGAAACAACCTAGCAACAAATAGCTTCTAACGACGTGCTGCACAGCGAACCGTTGTGGTGGTAGCAATAATAGAGTAAGTTCCCCTAACTAGCCTTAATCCATACCACTGGATAATAAACATGACCGACCATACTCCACCATCAAAATGGCCGTTTTGGGTCTGTCTGGACTAGAGAGTTGGGACGAAGCTGAGACAAGTTTACTCAGGGCTCTCCTGGCGGATAACGATGGTGGAGGCTGAGACTCGCGGGGAGGATTCGAATTGTGGCGGTGCTGTTGCCAAGAGCCACAGAACACCCCCCTTCAGTCTCTCGCTCCCCCGTTCATTTCCACCAGCCCGTTTTGACTTCTACCTCCTATTCCAGCTCTCATCAACAATCATCAACTTATTTCAACTCTCACCTCTATCATTATTATTCTTCTTGGAATCATTAAAGCCACTTTTTGTCTGCTATAATGGCTGGCCGTTTTGTAAGGTCTTCGAAGTTCCGTAAGTTAACTTAGTAAATACCACAGGTATCTCCGTGTAAACAAAGCTAACGCACGTGGCCAGGACACGTCTACGGAAAACCAACTCGAAAGGTATGATCCTCCATCTTGATATCTCTATAAAAATTGATATATAACTAACATAATGCTCATCAGGAACAATGCTACGATAACCTGTAATGCACCCTGCTCCTCCCTTGCTTTCACCCAAATCGGCATACTCCTCTGACACCTCTCTTTGTTCTGAAACAGCCACATATCAAAGAATGCTTGGGACTCCAACATAATCAAAGCAAATCCACAGTATCTTTCCGTCAACTGGGAATCCGGTGGTGGTGGGGCCTTCGCAGTCATCCCGCTTTCCCACCGCGGACGACTTCCGGAACAAATCCCTCTCTTCCGTGGCCACACTGCCCCTGTGCTCGACACGGATTGGTCCCCATTTAACGACTCGTTGATCGCCTCTGGTTCCGATGATGGCAAAGTGTTCATATGGGCTGTCCCGGAGAATTTCTCTCTTCTCACGGATGACGAGGATGGTCCGAAGGACGTAGAGCCTATTTCCAAGCTTTCCGGTCATCAAAGGAAGGTTGGGCATGTCCTCTTTCACCCCACTGCTGAGAACGTGCTAGCAACCTCCTCGGGTGATTACACCGTGAAGTTATGGGATATCTCCACAGGAACCCCTCATTACACCCTAAAGCACAGCGAAGTCGTTCAATCTATGTCCTGGTCTACTAATGGCTCTATGCTTGTCACCACGTGCCGTGACAAGAAGCTTCGTATCTGGGATCCACGACAGGAAACTGCCGTCCACGAGGTTACTGGTCATACGGGCGCAAAGAACAGTCGTGCTGTATGGATGACAGGTATTGGGGAAGACAAGATCGCCACCACTGGTTTCAGTAAAATGAGTGATCGCCAGCTAGGACTGTGGGATTTGAGATCCCTTTCGGATGGCCCCTTGAATGGGTTTGAGATGCTGGATACCATTTCGGGGGTGTGCATGCCATTCTGGGATGAGGGTACCAAGTGTATCTACTTAGCCGGGAAAGGGTGAGAAACACGCAAAGAATCATGAGGAGTAAAAAAAATGCTGATTTTGGAGCAGCGACGGAAATATTCGCTACTTCGAGTACTCGAACGACGAGTTCATTTTCTTGTCAGAATACAAGAGTGGAGACCCTCAGCGTGGTGTTGCCTTTCTGCCTAAGCGTGGTGTTGCTGTAAGTTCCGAAAATCTCTGAAAATACCGAGTACTCATGCTAAATTTGAATAGGTCCACGAGAACGAGGTTATGCGAGCATTCAAGACCGTCAACGATAGTTACATTGAACCAATTTCTTTTGTTGTTCCTCGTAGAGCCGAGACATTCCAAAGGTATTATGCCACAGTTTGGGGGCGCACACATTAGACATACTGACAGCTGTTGGTAGCGATATCTATCCTGAAACATATAGTGGGGAATCGGCTCTTACGGCCGAGGCATGGTATGGAGGAGCCGATGCCGAGCCCAAGATGTTTGACATGGAGACGCTTTACACACCTGAAAGTCTTCCCTCCTCGGCTCCTAAAACACCTATCTCCGTTGTTGCAACAACCCCGGCACCGGCCAAAACAGCTGTGGCACCCCCGAAGCCCACTGTTGTCGAATCGGCAAACCCTAAACCTGCGTCGCCTAAGGAAACACCTACTCCTACAGAGAAGCGCGTCCCTAGCCCAATTCTCGTTGAGACCACGGCCAAGGTAGCCGATAAGAACCCTGAGATACCCAATCCGGGTATCTCGCCTACAAAGCCCAGCATTACCCCTGCCCCGGCTCGACAGCAGATTCAGAGCCCTGTGAGTGTGCCCCAATCAGCAACGCTTCAGGCGCCTCCTCCGACGCCTATGGATACAAACATCGTAGAGCAACTTGCACGTATCACAGCATTGTTGGAAACCCAAAATAAGACGCTCGCCAGCCAAGACAGGCACATTTCTGACCTAACCAAAGAACTGGATGCACTGAAGAACAAAGTCGACGCCAGAGGTAGCGAAGAAAGTAGCAGAAAGGACGAAATCATCAGAAAGCTTGAATTGGAACTAGAAGAGGCTAGATCCTAGTATATAGCCATAAGGTGTCTTTTTGCTTGCACTGAGGGGGAAATATCAGGGGGCAAGTGTGGCTGTGAAAGAGGGAAGTCACCGAGTGATGGATTGTGACCGCAATAAACAAAGAAACTCCAATCAAGTATCCGGGGTTACTTGTTGACATGTGAGCGTTGCAATAAGCTAATGATAAAAAAGAAAGCGTAGGCGAGATGATTATATGTTTTCTCTTTTTCTCTTTTTTTTTTCCTTCTGCTCTATATCACGACTGTTCAAGTATGTATCCTCACAAATCCTGTTCGTTTTTATGTTTATGTTTTCATGAGCGCATTGGCGAGCGATGGAGGGAGGTTTGCGTTGTATTTCAGATCGGAAAGATTTTATTTCATTTTATAGTTTAGAAAAAAATATCAAGATCTTATTCACAAGATTTCCTGGGTGTTTCTCTGTGAGATTAGTGAATATATGGCCTTTTTGCCGCTAACAATATCTGTAACATCTGCAAAGGAAATATATGGGTCTAGCGGGCTATAGTTCTGGAAAGAGCAAGGCCTATTATTCCACACGGGCCAGGCACAATGTCATCCGAATAGCAACAAATGCCATTCCTATCCACAAAAAAAAAGCAAGAAAGAAAGAAAGAAGAAAACAAACCTCCCAAACACCCCCAGACAAGAACAACCTACCCACCACCACCACCCCCTAAAACCCCCTCACCTCCACCCCCCAACCCTCCCCTCATCCCACCTCTCCCTCCTCTCCCTCCTCAAATGATACGCCTTCCGCAACGCCCTATACTCCCTCACAAACTCCCCCACATCCCTGCCATCGCCGCCCCCCTCCTCCAAAAACGACTCCGCCATCGCCTCGGCCACCGCCTCGGCGTCCGCCACCGCGTTCACGAGACGGCTGTACAGCGCGGGCGACGAGAACGGCTGCAGCGCCTGGTACATCTCCTTCTCGCGCGCGCGCCACTCGCGCTCCTTCATGCGCGCGTCGAGCAGCGCGCGCTCGGCGCCGTCGCGCGCGGTGTGCAGCCGCGGTTCGAGCGCAGACAGGCGCGCGGCGAGGTCGGCGTTGCGGTGCAGGGCGGCGGTGAGCGTGGATTCGTGCTGGTGCGCGTGCGGGTGCGTGCTGGCGAAGAGGGCGTCGAGGAGGTGCGGGGAGGAGAGCAGGTGGGCGAGGTCGTCGCGGCTGTGCGGCGGTGGTTAGTAAGGTAAGGTGTGCTTGGAGCCCGGGGGGGGGGGGTGGTGTTACGATTTGGTCTGGAGGATGGAAGGGATGAAGGGGTCGGATGAAGGGGGAGGCGGCGGCGGGGGTGCCGGGCTGGAGGACCAGACGGGGGGGAGGGGGGAGGCGGTGCGGGAGTGCGTGGCGGAGGTGGTGGGTTTGGGCGGGGGTGCTGGCGGGAGCTGGTCAGGGGGGTAGGAGCTGGTGGTGGGTGTCGACATGGTGCACGTGAGGTCGTTTCCGGGGAAGTGGGAAGTTGCTGGTGGCTGGCTGGCTGGCTGGTGGTGTTTGAAACCCGGGGTGAGATCAGATGACGAGATGAACGGGTGTGGTGGATGTGTTGGTGGATGAGCTGTGTGGATGAGCTGTGTGGATGAGCTGTGTGCTGTGTGTGGGTGTGGATGTGTGGATGTGTGGATGTGTGGATGTGTGGATGTGTGGGTGTGGATGAATGATGGGGATGGATGGCCGAGGTGTGGTTGTGGTTGTGGTTGTGGCCGAGGTGTGGTTGTGGTTGTGGTTGTGGTGGGGGGTTCGGGGGTGATGATCGCTCGTGCAGGTTTTCGTGCTGCGTGTCGCTCCCGGGCGGGGCGATCGAGTGAGGTCGTGATAAGGTGTGGCTGTAGCTGGGGCCAAGGGTGCGATGACGAGCATTAAGCTTATCGCCTGTTGCCCTGGCAACGTGTCTGGCTGTAGCTCTGCCTGTGTGTCTGTCTGTCTCTCTGTCTGTCTGTCGGGTAGCACAGGGACGGACATGTGCACTAGAGCACATGTGTATGTAGGTCCACTTACCCTCCCACCACGCCCACGACCACCACCGCAACCACCGACCGCTACGTGCTACATCCCACCCACCCTCGCCCTCTACATGTACCACTCACTCACTACACTACCAACCCCCGGTACCTACGCCTACACCCCAGCTCAAACCACCCTTGACATTCTTTTTCCCACCTCCCCACCCTTTCATTTTTCGCCCCCAACAAACGAACGAGCGCTGGTCATTTCTCCCGGTGGAGTACATACACTAACAGCGGTTGTCTGTTTCTTTCTGTCTGCCTCTGTCTGTCTCTCGTTTCTCGTTTTCTCGCGACCCAGGTCAGCGATTCCCTGCTGCCCCCGGCAAATTTAGGTGGACAGCAGCGCTAGAAAGGGTGCTTCCCCGCCTTGTTCATCCGATGCTGTAGCACGCGCTGCCTGTGAGTCTCCGCAATTTGGGGAATGGGCCATGGGACGTGTGAATGTGCGCTTCTTGCAGTATGTATGTAGATCAGGACAACAACAGCAGAAAAGTAAACAAATAATAAAAATAAAAAAAGAGAGAGAACCAACAGGAAAAAACTAAACAAGGAGGTGGACAGATCCAATCCAGCCGCCTTTCCTCTCACCTCCGGATCCCACCTCCCCCCCCCGCCCCCTTGCCTAATAGCTAGAGTAGCTAGAGTATGTAGTTTCTCAACAATCCACCCCCCCACCCCGGTTCATGATAATCCAGCACACTCACTCACTCACCTCTCTCTCTCTCCCGGTAGGTACAATACCATTTGCCCATACTGTATCTACTGTAGCTACATACATACATGCCACACCCGTTACACACAACGCAGCGGCCATATATTACAACCACGAGTAAATACTCACGTCTACTCTATTTTTTCGCGACGTTTCGGGCACCGCCGCTCGCTCGCTCGCTCGCCGGGGTAAATGCCGGGGGCAAGGAGCGCAGCGCGCTAGGTAGTTCCCGGTGCCCCGGAAAATCTGTGGAACGGTACTTGCCATTTCAACATTCATGATTCAAAACTCAGCCTCTACTTCTGAGGCAGGGGTAGTAATGTGGGTTCCGGGTACTGCTGTTGTCAGTTGATGAGGAACCACGAAACACATGTAGCAGACCAACGGTTCGGGGTGAGAATCTTCCGGCGGAGGTCGCGTCGGCGATGTGCACTCGGATTCCGGGTCTGGTTCGTGGAAATCAGATCACGGGATGTGGATGTCTTACCTGCGAGTGAGTGGATGAGTGAGCGAGCGTGGTGAATGGGTAAGGGTTTGTTTCTCCGTTGCTTGGTTGGGTTGACTAAGCGGGGGGTCAAATCGGTCATTGATACTCATGTCCCGGGGGCCAAGCCAAGACGGATTGCAGGATTCCACGATTTTTTGCGCCCGCGGGGATTTGGCGGGAGGTTTGAGTTAAGGGGAGCATAACTAGACTTCTGTGATTGATTTTTTTTCTTTCTTTTCGCTTAGATTTAACGAAACCGGTCAATCAATCAATCAATCTACGACGACGACTGTAAAGTTCGATCCGTGCTTTTGGTCCGGCCGGGCTATTGCGCATCTGGATTCTCCCTACTGACTAACCAGGCATTTTGTCTAGGTATTATTACATATTGCAAGTACCGAAAGCACTATACTTCCTTCAGGAACGAAACAATCAGGAGAAAAAAAACTCCACAGATTGCAAATGCATTATCGACCGTACCTGCCGCGCCGGTGGTCTTTCTTGTTACAAGGCACCACCTGTACAGCCAAAAACCACGGTTCTAGACAAGATCAGCACCGTAAAAGATCTTTATTGACTGTACCTGCCGGTGGTCCTTTTTTTTTTTTTTTATTTTTACAAAAAACTACCGTTCTAGACAAGATCGGCACAGCAGTGGAATCTCTAAGCAGACCGCGGCCGCGCCGGTCAAGCTTTTAATCGACATTGACATTCGCCTGCTGAAACGTCGCAGCTGACAGAAGAAGGGGGGTGTTGTCTCAGGGGATTATCTCTGCAGTTGCGGGGGGGGAGGGGGGGGAATACGGGTTCAGACGAAAGTATTAGGCATTGCATTCCTTTGAGTTTAGGCAACAGGGCCATCTGGTACCTGGAATGTCATCAGTTGCAAAAGCCCTGGCCTAGTGCCACAAAGGCCACGTTGTCCATGCTATCTAAGCTTATTACCACATCTGCCTATCTACAAAACCATCCATCCAGGGATCTGTCTATCGACGCCGAATTCGAAGGGAAGGAAAAAGCGGCGCCTGGTCAATGATCGGAGACCAATAAATGACGTCATCTAGATCCTTATGCCCCCTAACCTCAACCTTAATATTTCCTCAACGGAGTGGAAGGGCTGAGACTATGTAGTTCGGTATTGTGGCAGTGGGCGGTGGTTGTGGTAGTTGTGGTGGTTGTGGTGGTTGTGGTGGTTGTGGTGGTTTAAAGCTTAATTAATTGTTTGACCTTCCTACTTGGTTGGGTAGATGGATTGGATGGAAACCCTTCCCTTCCATGGCAGACGGTGCAAGCATTGCAATGGAAGCTTAAGCCAGCAGCAGCAATAATAGCGGCGGCTCCATATTGGATTTGACATATATTAGTTTTCTTTTTTTAATAAAAAGCTACACGTATACCTACCTACACGTAGGTAAGGTACGGATGGTACCTATCTATACCCACCCGCCGCCTGCTAGCTGTCTGGTTTGGCTGGCTGGGCCGTTTTTTTTATATTATACTCATGGAGCTAAGGATCCGAAACATCCCCAGGGGAAATTTCCTGGGGGAGGGAGGGAGGGAGGGGGGGGGGGGGAATAGAGATAGAGGGAAAGGCAAAGAAGAAAAAAAGAAACTTTAAGCATGTGAATTATAAAAAAGAAAGCAAAAAGGGAAGAAAAAAGAAAAAAGGAGGAGGGAGGAGGGAGAGGGAGAGGGAGAGGAGGAGCCCAGTAAAGTGAAGTGAGTGCTGCTGCTTCCGTCTATACTTACACCGCATCAGGAAAGCTGTCGGAAATAAAGTGCATACATACATACAACTGCTACTCTACTCATACTCTACTATACCTACTCTGCTTCCCCGCAGTCGGCCGGCATTCACAGTACCTACATGTAGGTAGGTAAAAGTACCTAGGCCTACTGTATTCTACCCCTAAACAACCAAACCAACCAAACCAACCAGGCTACAGCAGAGCAGGGCATGACAGGGCAAGGGTAGGGTCATGTTTCCCTTCCTTGCTGCTGATCGTTCGAAAAAACCTACATTGAATATATATCATTTTAGCCGCCGCGCCGGCACCGGGGGGTGGTAGGCCAGGCAAATTATACTCTAAACTACATGTAGCTGTCTACATATTATATATGTGTATGCAGCTACATTTGAAGAAACCTGGGCCGTCCACAAATGCCCGGGGCGGAGCTACCCCAGATATTTGTGTTCACGATCGGATTGGTGGGAGGGGAGTAGCGTGGCTGGCTAGGCTGGGCTGGGCTGGGCTGGGGCCAGTGTATTTTTTTATTTTTTATTTTTTTTTATTTTTTTGCTCACCCCTTCCGCGCGTGTGTGGTGTGAGTGTGTGTGCGTGTAGGTGTGGGTGTGGGTGTGATCTTTACCTGTTTGTAAACAACTATAATGTAGCTTTTGAGGGTTGAGGTTGAGGTCGCCGGCCGCCGGCCGACGTCGCTATCATCTTCACTATCACCACCACCACCACCAACACTACCACCACCCCACTACCTCCTCTAACAAGGCCGGTGTCTAGTTAGCTAGCTGATTGATAGGCAGCAGCTGGCACCGGTACATCTTTGTTCCTCCGGTGAGATAGATGCACGCGCATACATCCATACTGTATACTACTATAGAATACACGCAGTACCGGGGGTTCCTTATATGACACAGATATGGGCCAGCAGTAGTGGCTAGCTAGTAGCAGATCAGAGTAGAGCAGGAGCAGGGGCGACGGCGGCATCAACACAAAACAATAAACAATAACGTACTAAACCTAAAGAATAAGATAAGAAGCAATAAAAGAATCGGAAATGGAAAAAAAGGAAAAAAAGACCCGATAAAAATTTCCCCTGTATTGCTAAAGAAGAAGGAATATGATGGCGATGATGATGTGATGAGGAAGCAAGAGTTACAAGAATGAAGAAGAAAGGGAAAAAATGAAGGAAAAAAAGAAGCCCCAAAAATATACCAGTGTCCTTTCCCCAAGAAAAAGAAAAAGAAAGAAAAATGCATTCGCCCATATGCGCCCATGACCACTGAATAACTAAGTTCTGTAAAACAAAAATAAAAACAAAAAGCATGATACCAATTCGTTTCCCCATCGTCCTCCCTTCCTTCATAGGTTCCGTGAATGTCATCTTCGCAGCAGTGCGGAAAACACAAGTGAGGGCGTAACTATATACGTACAAAAGCGGATGTGTCTTTTCCCCTTCAACCCGGGAATAGGTATCGTTTGCTCAGATATTGCTTTTCTTTTTTTCCTATCTTGTGATTTTTTTTTGTTCCCCTGCCTAATTATCTAGACAGACCAAAAGAAGTAAGAAAGAAAAGAGGAAGAAGATAGGGAAGAGTCTGTACTGCAGAAGGAAAAAGGACTTCAAACAAATGGCACATTTTGTTTGAGATCATAAAAAATACAAATCACTCGCGCTCTCCCGGCGCCTGTCCAAAATAAAATCACATTTTCCTTCTCCGTTTCGGCTTCCCGGCCGCTGTTGAAGGCGAAGCGTCATCATCGCCGCTCCCCTCATCTTTCCCGCTGCCACCTGGCGCCCCAATCGCCTTCTCGTTGCCCTTCTTGACCGATATGGCACACCCCTGTAGTTTGAGAGCCTTGGTCAATTCCGTGCTCGGCCGCATCCCGGGGAATTCCTTCGCCGTGTAAACGGTAAACACCTCGCTCATGGCCTCTGTTATTATTGGTGTATAGCCCTCCGGCCGTAGATCACTAGGCTCCAACCGCATGAGAACAAATCTCAGTCGGTATTTACCGTGCGTTCTACATGACAAATCGGGGAAGCAGAAAAAGCAGCCCTCCTTCCCTTCCTCGTCCTGACCCACGAACGGCGATGAGACCAGTGTACCCATCAGCCGTCGCGTCAGCCGCTTGTCCACGCCTATTAGCGCGGTTTCGTCCTGGTTTCCGTCTGGGCTCCACAGCGTGCAGTGTACAACATTGAATGGATACCGCATCTCGTTGGGGTCTGAGTGGCCTGTAGGGTCGTTTACGATAAGCTGGACGATTGGTGGGGGATCTATGACTCGTCGATCCCGTTCGCCAAAACCACATGCCCGTGCCGCTACGGGCTGCTGCCGTACCTCAATTGAATAACGCCCATGACTGTATATGCGTTAATAAGACAATTAAGGGCGCCACCTACCAGGGCCTAAAGACTGACCTTGACTGTGGGCGACTAGGCCGTCGGCTCACAACTGCATCTTCCACTGAGGTGGGCGTGTACCTCGATGGGTAGTTTTGCTGTTGCTGGTGTTGGTGCTGCTGGTGCTGCTGGTGCTGGTGCTGTTGCTGGTGCTGCTGGTGCTGGTGCTGTTGCTGCTGGTGCTGCTGTTGCTGTTGCTGATCCCCCACAAAATTGTGCTCTACCGACCGTTTCACGTTGTAAGTTGGAGAAGGGACCATAGTGCTTAAACTTGATCTAAAGTCCATGTCAGCCCAGCACCACGAGATATTCAGGTTAGAAATTGGCGTACCTTCGTCGTTCCCGGTCTGAGTCTTGACTATACCTTCTATCATCGTACCTAATGTCGAAGTTGTAGGAAGCCGGCGACGAGAGCCCGGAATTGGCGGGGGAGTTGTATGTCGTCTGCGATGTTATGACGCTCCCATATGGGGCCGTTGAAACTTGTCGAACCTCACGTTTGTGGGGAGTTTGCGAGGAGGTAGATATGTGCTGCTGTTGCGAATGTTGCGGTTGAGGAATGTGTGAGGGCTGCTTGGATTGCTGAACAAGGGGCTGCGGTAATGTAGATCCAACGGGACTTGAAATTGCGAGAGGCGGTAGTATCGGACCAGGGCCTGAAAATCGTGCGGCTTGACCCGAAGTGTCGTTGAATATAGGCGGCGGAAGTTGGTGGTGGTGAGGTTGAAATGCCGCAGAGGGCATGGGTCGAGGCGACTCGGCCATTGTAGAAGATGATGGAGGCAATGTGGACCGTGGATAGATGATGGGAGGGGGTCTAGGCGACATCATTCAGGCTCGAATCTCCGACCTTTCAAGTCGGTGACCGAAAACAGCGTATGTGAGATGCCGTAGCAAGCAGGAGAGGTGTGATTTAGGCAGTGGCTAACGGCAGCGGGGGTAGTGGGTAGGAAGCTGATGTTAGAAATGTCAAGCAGTAAAGCTCAACGGCGCGCGTGTGCGCCTCCTTTGATAGAGGCGATCCTATATCCTATATCCAGAGGATAAGTTCTCACTAAGAGGTAACGGGCAGGCAGGCAAACGTTGCGTCGCGCAAAGGGCAAGAAGTACACTGGTCTATGTGAGCGACCGGGTTCGCCAGACGCGACAAAAATATTTATATAAAAAGACCGTGCTTTTTCTTTCTCATTGGTCTTTTCTCACCAACGCAGCAGCAGCAGACAGACGATTATTGCTGGGGGGACGGCCGAGAGGTTCCGAGATCGTTTTGTAACAATAGTGAGACGGCAAGTATGGAAACCGGGGAGCAATGGAGGCAAGCGAGCGAATCGAATGCGATCGAGATCGAAGTAAAGTTGACCAGGGGGGAAAAAAGGAAATAATAATAAGTGGGAATATAACAAAATGCTTGCAGATGGACTGGTCTGATAAGTCGTGTGCACCGTAATCTTGTGTTGTACTTTTTGTGTTTATGTACGGGGGAAACAAATATTATCCACGAGAGCAGCGAAGCTTAAGGAACGAGATTCGAAGGTACCCGGAGAGGGAACTACTATCCTGCAGAAACAGTGTCGGCGTGACAAGAAGAGAACGAGATTTTGGGAAGGAACGAGAGGAAGGGGGTGGGAGGGGAAGGGAAATGGAAGAGGAGGGGGGGTAGAGAGAACGGAAGTGATACACCTGCACTCCTGCTGGAGGGGTGGGAGGAGATGTGGAAAGAAGAGAGGAGAAGGGGGGGGGAGGGGGAAGAGGGGAGAGAAAGTCGAGAGAGAGAATATGATGAGAGAGGGACAGGATATGCGTATTGAACGAGTGTCACGGTAGTAGATATCCCTTCCTCCTCTTTTTTTTTTTTTTTTTTAATTTTTTTAATTTTTTTAATTTTTTTTTACTACCTTCCCTTCCTAGTCTTATTCCTCAAGGTTGATCTTCTCTTGTTCCTACTCTCCTCCTGCTCCTACCTCTTCTCGTCTTCCACCTTTTTCCCTTTTTTCTAAGCCTTCCCGCAGGGGGGTGGAGAAGACGAGTGAGAGGGTGGGTGACGGAGTGAGAATGAGAGGTTCGTCTGCACTGCACAGCAGCGATGTGACAGGAAACGACGACGAAAGAAAGACTGGTAGAGAAGGCCGCTCTAGCGGAGCTGGCAAAGTGTAGGAAATCGGGTGGCCCCCTCGCTATTTTTGGGCCAATATTTTGACGGGGAAGGGCTATGTGGATTTGAGGCTTGTGATAGAGCGAAGTAATTGATTTGATAGTTGGAACTGCTCAATACGTACCTCGTACCTTGTCGTACCTTAATCCTTTTGTTTTCTTTTGGCTTGACTGACCGACGGGCTGGACCGACTACCTGACTGGTTGACAGATTGATTGTATCGACCGAACGACTGACTGATTGACTGGTTGACTGATTGACTGACCGACTGACCGACTGACCGACTGACCGACTGACCGCCAACTAACTGACTGATTTTGAGTGGGGCTCGACACTGTTTGTCTGAGGAAAGAGAGAAGATCAAGACTCCGAAATCTCCCCACGATCGAAAGGCAATAATATCTCGGGGGGAAATCTCAATGATTCAACTAGCAGGAAAAGAAAAGAAAATAAACACCCCACAACTGGTCCGAAGCTTGTACGTACAGTTACCAAGTTGGCTTAGTTGGAGGGATGTGCGGTGATGTGCTGCAACCAATTCGGTATATGTGTATGTATGTATGTAAGTAGGGTTCGCAAGTTAGTATGCCGCCGCTCCTTCCATCTTTCACCTCCTTTCGTTCTTTCTCTGGCTCGTTCAGCAGATTTCCGGATCAGAATCTGATCCACACTCTTCCACGGGGTCGGGTTACGCCGTAAGACGAAAATGATCAGAAACGGAACCGGCGAAGCTCAAAAATAACGGCTAGGATGAGTGGGAGATATGTACTGTCGAAAAGATCGAAACGAAACCCTTCTCATCACCACAAAGCAAGTACCGAGGAGGTCATATAAAAAGGAAACCCTCAGCATATACTGTTGAGCTCCAGCAAAACAAAACAAATTCAAAAATTAACAACTAAATAAACTAGTTGTTGGAATAAATAAAAATAAGCTGTGATGGTTTGGGGAAATCCAATATATCCGCTCTGTTCCACAGGGTCACTTCTAACGCTTGATCCGCGGTCTTCCTGCACTCCATAACTTCCCATTTGTGGTACCTAATACTGCGGTGCATACCGCTGTGCTCCCTCAAGCCAGGGTATAAAAACCAAGAAATATGTATGTGGACAACTCGTCGGTGCCTTTATTCCAGGGTCTATCTTACATCTTACATCGTGCCTATTCTAATGATGTATTATAGCTACATTTATATCATCCCCCACGCATCCCAAGACAAAAGAACCATGGGGGGAACGTCATGTTTCACTTTCACACGAGCTCTATCTTAGAGAAACGGTGTGGAGACGGGAAATAGACTGTCGAAACCCGGGACGGACAACCACTCTACGCAGATTGCTCACGCTTCATCCCGCTAAGACCCGCCTCAAGATTATTGGCAACTTCGCTTCGGCGGGGATCCTTGATCCAAGGAAATTGATTCCACTGCTGTTCCCCGGACACCTCATCATTGGCAGATGACTCCAATGAATCTCCTCCTCCACCCCCCTCCACCCCCTCCTTCTCACCTCTCCCCTCCACACTATTCAGAAATGTCTTTCTCCTCATAATATCTATGGGATGCAGCTGCAAATGAGACAGACGCTCGTACAAAATGGAACCGAGAACTGGAAAATGTAGACCCTTTCCCCTCATTTCAACTCGTATGTATGTATGCAGTTGTCACTCGCCCAGGACTTCTGTTGCTGCTAGCTGTCGGTTGGCGGCCACTAATAGTATTGTATGTATCAGTGATCAAATAAACAAAACGCACATGGATTTCCCCATAATACAGCAACACAACGAACAATATAATAGCAATAACAAAAACATTATTATTAATAATAACGACAATATCACTATTCTTATTAGCGAAGTTTAGAGTAGGAACGGTATGGGTGTTTTGCAAGGCGGCCTGACGAACTCTAACAGATTGGTCCGGGTCATGCCCAGGATTTCACACGCTTCGGCTCTTGTTCCGCTTACCCTATCCCAACGTTTATTGATAAAACGGATCCTTCCTTTCGATATTTGCAAAGCCCCATAAACAGGGGAGAGAAAGAGGGGGGGGGGGTCTTTGATGGGCACATACTGTAGCTTTAGAAGATGATAGAAAGCTCTCCACGTATAGCGAAACACCGATTTCAAAAAGGACGTCGATGGTAGAGGGTACTTACTACGGACCCTAAAGGCCGATCAACAAAACTTCCCACAGACCAGGATATAGAGACTCTGTTGAGCCTGAAGAATTTGCTTTTTCACGTTGCAAGGACCAGTCCGTGGCTCTTGTTTTAGTTTTGCTTTTTCTACTAAATATCCTCAGTGAGTATTTCTTTCACTTATGGCTAGTGTGACTCGCAAGCCTTTACGTATGCTGTCCCATTTAAATGTTTCATACAGCCAAATCCCCAGCATTGGCATGTACTTCTAGTTAGTTAGCATAGGAAGGGGGCGACTTTTGGGGTCCCCAATGTTTTTACTACAGTAGTGCTGGGGGTGTCTAATGAGGGTAGATCGGTCGACACATAGCACGAGGATCGGAGCAAGCAAGGAAAGCTACATGTACTCTTTCAAAAGACAGAAAGGGTCCTAGTGTCACCACTGCTAGCTACTTTCTTTCGGCTGTCAGATTTCTTTTCTCTATCCCTGAGCTCAGAATTACAGGGCTTTTAACAAGTTCCAGGTATTTAGATCGCTAGGGCCGGGGTTTTTTCCTTCCTCGAAGCTTCCCCCCGTCAAATGACCATATTGGGCCGATGTAATATATGTTAGAGCTTAATAGTGTGACATTATGAGCTTGAGAACAGCGGGGTCGTTGTCCCTCAATAAGTAATTGACGGGGAGGGAGCTGCACATCTATTATTCCATGTAAAAATTGCTTGGTACTGGGGCAGCCAAATAATAGTTCGTGACATGTCTCCTTTGGGGGGCTCAATATTAACCTCGAGACAGTCATTCTGAGAATATAGTCAGCTGCTGATGTCTAGAAGCTCTGCTTACTGACAAAGGCCCCTCCCATAAGATCAAACATGTTCAGTCCTTTTTTTTAACCCGGCTAATAACATGTACTCGTGGAAACACGGACCGGCGGTCCTTGTGCCTAATAGAGGAGGAGGGCCAGTACCAGTGCTACATGTACTGCTGAGGTACATACATGTACTTACATAATTGGTATTCCCCAGATGATGAGAAAGAAGCTAAGCGACTCTCTTGGCGATTGGGGCTTCTCCAGGAAAACACCCATAAACAGTTATACAGGGAGAGTTGAGGGAGCTCACGGACACAGGCCAATGTGGTTGGTGGTGGTGGTGGTGCAGGTTCGTTTTCAGTTACACGAAAGGATCTCAGCCTAATGATGCCGCCCGACTGACGCCATCCTCGTACATATGTATTTCGGATATAGGTTTATGCGGGTCTTAGTCGGTTAGGAACGTTGTACGCAACTCCCGGGTCCGCTATGGATAGATTTTCAAGCCGGTGTCGTAAGATCGCGAGGTCTGTGTGTTTCGCCGTGTTCGGAACGTTCCGAACCGGAAACTACGGGCTTTCACATGGTCTTGGCTTTCTGGGCGCATAGTGGTCTGTACTTTGTAAAGTCCCTTCAGCCTTTCCTTGCATATAATTTGCCTTGTATTATGATCAATATTCAATAAATATCTGATCTTCAGTCCACCATCTATGCGATTTTAAGGGGGAGCAAATAACGAAAGTGAAAGATGGAAAAGTACATGTATGTACTTAGCCTCCATAAGAGCTCATGTTAACTTGGATATATGCAGGTACAACGGCCCGCTCCCCAATAACAGCTGTAATACTCCTTACTGTTGCATATATCCAATTTTAAGAGCCAGGACTTGTGACTTTATCCCGAGTTATTTGTGGCCATGGGCAGCTCAAGATAATAAAGACTCACACTCTAATTCCATGAGGCTTATCTTGACAGGCTCAACTCACTTACGTTACTTCGCACCAACGGTCCGAAATATCGGACTTCAGCTGTGGTGTGGGTGTGGAATGACCTCTTTGGAGCCATAAGACTCAGTAAGGCAGCAGCTCGATTCCCTATCTGAAATAGTAAGCTCGGTTATCGATCGTGAAATTGTGAAATATCGAGTCGATAGGTATAAACCTTCCACAGGGGTTCGCCCATAGTTGTTCGCCCATAGTTGGCTTGAGAAGCACCCTTGGACAAAAAAAAGAAACCTTCCCCCTACCTCAACCTGCATGTGATTCCTTGATTATAACACCTAATCTTAAGGATCTGTCTGAACCCTAAAGATCCAAGGCTTCCACATACTTAGGGAGGAACTTGCAGCTATCTGCCACTCTTCGCTAGTTATAGGGTAACCAGTAATGAACTATGTTCACCTGACCGTGACAGAGTTATCTGGATAGACAGCGATAGCTCTTTCCAAAAGCAGCAAAGAACTCCGCCTTGGCCTAGAAGCTTCGAGTGGTGAGCTTTGCTTCAACTGTGATTCACCTGCAGATAGTAGCAGCATCTGCGGCTCAGATATCATGCTTCACAAGCTTAAGCCCTATACCGGCCAGGCCACATATCAACGCCGCTTCTGGAGGATTTCCAGGTGTAGCAATGACGAATGATGAGGACGAAACCCAGGTTTAGGCGATGGAGGGCTTGTCTTACCCGTGTCTAGCGCTGCAGCAATAAGGGGAAATGGCCTCTTTCCCGGTAATGGGAATGGCAGCGTGCGCATCTAGCCCTGTTCCACGTCGAGTAAAAAGTGCCGTCCGTATCTTTCTGAGAATAATCGGAAAATCCCTCACCTCGCAGCATCGGCAGTTCCCCTGAACTCCGCGAAGGGGGATGATGCCAGGGTGTTGGTGGTTCGTCCTCCACTAGACCCGACTTGAATCTCAATGTTGTTGTCGGCTCTGACCGACGGTATCATTGACCCATAACAGTACCCGCAACGAGCTGGCTAGCCAAGACTGACAGCTCAACATCATTAAGAGTTTCGAACAAAGCCAATTAAACAGCATTGGAGATCTTAGGAGCTTGAAGGGCATCCTCTCAAAAGCGCACGGGTAAGCGAAACTCAAAGATCAGACCACAATTTGGTTTTTTCTTTTGATATATGTGAGAGCCACGTCTGTAATCCCTTTTTTACCTTCGCTTTCAAAATTACGTTCCTGTCGATCACTTCAGGAGTTCACTCCGGATCCGAGCTTCTTTTCTGCAATTCAATTTCTTTTTTCGGTTACAAATGTCCCGCCCCGCCTGTCTCGAATGGAGCCGGGATTCGGCCGACAGCAACAACAAAAGCAGCAACGGAAACCTGCGTCGGAGAAATCCATGACAGGCCGCAGTTTTCCAGTGGGGCAGGTTTTTCCGCTGTCTCTTGTGCCACGTGTGGAGGTGGCGGCGGCAGAGAGAAAGCAGTGCCCGACATGCAACGAACAGAATCATGATCAGTGAACTCTTGTGCACTGAGTCTTTTTTGAAGATTCTGTTGATATTGTAACCGCCTGCTGGGTACATGTATGTCGTTTATTTGAAGGTCCGATTTCCTGTAATTGATTCAGATCTACTTATTAGTATGTGAAGTGATGGACCAGGTTGAGGAGGGGCAGCAAAGACCACATACATATGCATCAGAGACAAGATAAGAATATCGAACGAGTGATCATGCATCCCACAAGCGTTCGAATCGGGGTTTTATTGTTTTGTAGCTATGAACTTAATTAAATGAGTTGTCATAGGTGCGATTCAAGGAACATCCTCGCTTGTGGAATCTGTGCAGGAGAGTCTAAGCTTTCCGTCCAATCACAACATTGTGATGACTTGAATGAAGGGCTCATAATCAAGTACTTTTTTTATTTTGTTTTTTTGTTTCTTCGTTGCGGTGAGTTCGAGTCTATGGCGTTGGATGTCTCACCGTCCCTCACGTCCCACAACGTTTTAGTGTATCATTCTGGATTGGACATGGAGGGTCCTCTAGCGCTCCGGTGGCCGGAGCCGCTCCGTGCCAAGGTTGCGGGGAAGAAGCCGCCAAAAAACAAGCATTTCAGACTGGACCAGCCTGACGCTAGCTATCCGAACCCTAACCCATTCGCTTGTTGCTTCTTCGGACGTCGCTGGACTTTTAGCGTGGAGATAGACAACAACAGAGCTACGATTACTTCAAACAGGTGGGCAGCAGCAGCAGAAGCAGAAACGAAACAATGGCTCAGTATGGGAACTACAAAGGTATGCCATTATCATCGCCACAAGAGCATTGCCCTCATGTGAACCCTTAATTCTCCACATGCGCCATACCCTGACCTAGACGCTGACAAATATTTACTTTACACTGCTAGGCTACCAAGGTGCCAGTCGACACGATGGTCTCAATCGTGCCCCGCACGTTATCGATTACCGCCTGCAAGCCCTCGCCAACTCTTCTCCAGATCTGTTTACTGGCAAGGACATCCTGGATATAGGGTGCAACAATGGGGCGATAGCTGTGCATCTGGGTACCACAACCTCCCCCCAAACCCAAGCCCTCCATGCTAGCCAGCGGCAAAGCTAAAAGTCATGGGAACTGACGATTATGCATGGGAGTGAAAACGAAAAGGCATTTCGTTCTCTCCGGCAAGTGTAACCGGTGTCGATATCGATCCAGAACTGGTTCAAAAGGCGATATCGCATCTATCATTGCGATATTCCAGGACTGCCCCAGTAGATGGAGAGTCTGCCCCAGCCGAACCTAGCCAGGTCGAGCGGAATAATTATTTTCCGATCTCGTCGGTACTGCAGCATGGGCACCGGAATTACCATCAGGATCTCGACCCCGCAAAGTTCCCCCTTAACGTGGCCTTCCGCTGTGAAAACTGGGCTACGAGCCCTCCTTTGGAACCGGGGTTTTACGATGTGATCCTCGCTCTAAGCATGGTTAAATGGGTTCACCTGCAGGGCTTGGATGAAGGTAAGCGATAAAGGAACATTGCCCCCCCCCCCCCCCCCCCGGATTTTCCCTGCGTAACTCTTCCGGGCTGTACCTACTAATTATGCTCACGATTAAAGGATTACGAGCATTCTTTGCCAAGGTATACTTGTCTCTGCGTCCATCTGGATACTTTATCCTTGAACCCCAGGAGTGGGAGTCTTACAAGCGGGCGGTAAAGAAGAATAAGATCCTCGAAGGGAACTATAAAAAACTCGAAATTCGCCCAGATGACTTTCAATCGATCTTGGAAGCAATCGGGTTTAGTCTTTTGCAAAAATTAGATACCAGTCTCAAACGGGTCATTTTTATTTATCAGAAGAACTAAGTACTAGATGCATGCATGCGTTTCCTTCTGTTCTATTCCTACAAACCAGCCCTTTCTCCTACCGGGGTTTGTTTACGCGCTGGTTACCGCCAAAAATAGGAAAATATGAATCTAACCACCCATCTAAAGAGAATATCTTGACTTGGAAAGCAATTTAATTCCAAGTTTGTATGAAAAGGGGACGAGAATACAATAAAGCGATTGAGTGGAGACAACCGCAGTGTATGAGAGGAAAGGATGGAGAGATATTAATGTTCAACCAAAAGGTTAGAGAAAGATGGTGAAAACATTGAAAACACATGAATACTTTTTTTTTTACTTTTTGACCCCTCCCCATCTTTCTGCCTCGCGGTCTCTCTCCGCTCTCCGCTCGAGGTCTTCCTCGTCCTCGTATTTGTATGATGGCTTTCTTCTAGACCGTGAATCTTTCGTTGTCTTTCGGTCCGCATCTTTTTCTGAGTGTCGTTCTTTCTCAACCTTTTTCTCCGTGGCAGCCTCCGGTTCAGTCTTTTCGTGCTTTTCTCTTCGGTCATATTTCTCGTCTTTATCGTATTTCTCATCTCGGTCATATTTATCATCTTTGTTGTCGTATTTATCGTAGCGATCGTGTTTGCTAGACTTGTGACGATGAGAACGATGCCGACTATCTTCTCTCTTACTCCTTCGCTTGTGCCTTCTTTCTCGGGAGTCTCTCCTGCTCCTGCTGTCTACTCCATCGGCATCCCGTGAAGCGGTAGTTTTTTCATCAATTGGGTAGTCGTCCTTCTTTGGAGATCTGGAACGTGAGCGGGAACGATGTTTTCTACTGCCCCTATGCTTATGGCTTCGGCGGTGGTGCCTACTACTGTCCTTATCCCTACCATCTCTATCTCGGGGCTCTTTGTCCCTGTTATCTCTGTCTCTCTCTGTGACGGGGCTAGATCTTCTGTGTCTGCGGCTGCGCTTGTGATGCCCGCTTGGCGACTTGCTCCGAGACCTTGAGGTAGATCGTAATCTTTCTCTGCTAGCAGACTCTTCGCGTGACCTCTTTACCCTGCCAGTGGAGCTTTGTTGAGTACTATCTATATTGTCCTGTTCAGCGGTAGAAACATCGGTGAGCGTCTTAACTAGAATAGGCGAGATTGGTTCTTCAGTGTCAGGGTTTAACGTTCGTCCGCGGCGGTCACATTCAGATTCAACACTTTGAGATTGGCGCTTCCGGTGTCGACTACGGTCCCGGTTCCGGGATCTGGATCTTCTACGACGATCGCGACTAGGGTCTCTACTTCTATCACGGCCTGTAGCACTCGATCGACGCCTCCCTTCTCTAGATCTAGATCTAGAAAATGGTCCCGCACGCCCTGGTGACATACTGTTTCACACCCCATATTATCAGAACGTTTCCGGAATATTGGTGGGAAATGATACAAACCTTCTATTCCATGATGATCCAGCGTAAGCACCTCTTCCGCGACCGAATGCTCCTCCCCTAATAGGTATTCCGGCCCGAACTGGGGGGATACCTTCTCGGAGGGCTTTGGGGCCAGTAGGCGCACCTTCAACACCTAATCCTACACCAGGTATTTTATCGGGTTCTGCATCTCCAATAACCGGTGGGGACGGTGCAACGCTATAAAATCCACCTCTGCCTGTCGGATATGATCCTCTAAAATTTCCCCTAGGGCCCCCACGAGGACCCACGGGGAAATGCGGTTGAAAGCCTGGTGGACCTCTAAATTCATTTGGGGTAAAATACTGAGCCATATCAGGATTCACAGGGACTGCTAAATTTTGTGAGTCTGCAAGTTCCTCAGGAGCAAGATCCGCCCCGGCCAAAACAGTAGAAGCAGTATCAGTAGGCACATCGTTGGGATCAGTTATATTCTCAGGATCTCCAGACACAACAGGAATCTTTTCTCCTTTTTTCTCATCAACGGACGTGCCAACAACAGCAGCGCGAACTTCATCAATACCTTGTAACTGTTGTTGAAATTGATCCTGAAAATCCTGCTGTTGCTGGCGTTCAAGAAAAGGGCGTGACCCATTACCAAAACCACCACGACCCCGTTGATAAGGCTGTTGCCGCTGGAAATGAGGATTTTGATATTGCTGTGTGGGCATCTGAAGATTCCCGTGAGATTGGTGATTATATCCACCAGCAGTTGCAGCAGAATAATATCCACCATTACGAGTACCATCCATTCCGGGATTGTATCCCACATTATTTTGTCCATTCCAGCCCCATCCCATTCCATCATGCCCGTTATGAAACCCTCCTCCATTCATTCCCATGCCCCCAAAGTTTCCTCCACCATATCCTCCTCCCTGTGCGACCGAATTCATACCATAACCTTAAAAGAAAGGAAAAGAAAATATTAGTGCCCGTTAACGATTACGGGAGTAAGTAGCTTGACGTACCCATCATGGAATTCCCATATCCGTTCATCCAACCTTCATGATGCATTCCTTGCATCATTTGGTTATACATGTTCCATCCATTGGGACCTGAAAAGTCCTGCCCGGGGAACATCTGTTGCATCTGTTGCTCCATCTGATTGGGGTCCTGTTGACCGAACCAAGCGTTCTGCTGGCCAACAAAGCCATTTGCTGCTTGGACTTCAGGTGGATTTGTCTCGGTAAGACTCTTCACCACCCCCGTCTCATTCACTGCCTCCGTGGATTCCTGGAAGCGGTTAGTCATATCGGACATTTTGGTAAGAAACAGTTTTAACCAACCTGCGAAACATGCGGAAGCACTGGTGTACCTTCTGCCCGAGCAGTCTCCTCAGCCTCTTGCGGAGGTGTTAATGGATTCTGCATGGGAGACACGTGCGCCTGTACAGCCTTTGCTGGCTCTGGCTCTGCATCCTTAATCTCGACCTTGGGCTCTACGGGTTTAGTCTTCTCTTTTTGTTCTTTCTGTAACATCAGATTATGCTTCTTCTCCTGAGTCCGTAGGAAAACTGCCACCGTCGTTCGCAGGGCAATATTTGCTTTGCAGTCGTCTGGGCTAAGCGGAGTGTGGTCACAAACGGGACACTCAGTCGGGAGATTCGCATGGCCTATGTACGTAAAGCGAAAAACGTCAGCGATGAAAATTTCTTCTAAAACAATTCCGAGAAAAAAGATTACCCACAGTTTTCACAAATCGGCTGTTCACAGCATGGTAGACGAGAGGCGCCACGTGCAAGCTCGCTGCAAATAGTGCACCGGAGTTTGACAGGTATCTCAGGCAGCGGAATCGAGCTAGTCACAGTCAGAGAGAAAGTCTCAGCCAGAGACACCGATATTACACGTCTATGTAGTGAGTTCTTACCTTAACCCGTTCGCTGACTGCTCTTGTGTCGTTGCCATGTCTATGTGAGCCGCACGTGCGCTTGGGGGTGAATGTAGAGGAGGATGACGTGAAAGAGGCGCTCAGGGGAGAGCAAATAGTGCTTTTTGAGATCCTGAAGCACTCGAAGAAAAATTGACTGTGTGCTGGTGATGTGCTGGGTAGGTTGGTGAATTTTGATAAAGTTGTCGTGGTGGTGAGGTGCGGAGCATGGAGGCTGGGGGAAAACGGATGAGCTTGCACCGAATCGGAGTAAACCACTAGATGCACGAACAGCAAGTCCCCAAAGTATGAAGCCGGCAGTTCTTCAAGGTGGTGGCTTCTCTTCTCTTCACCTACTCCTAATATTTGAATCTACCCGCCGTAAACAGTAGTGCCATATATGATTCAATTACTTCAATTGTTACTCACACGTCCTCGGCTAGGGCTCAGGGTTCGTGGCTAGGGCCACATTGTAGAAATGATAGAAACTACCAGGTTCCGTGGCTCAACTTTCTTACCATCAGGTAGTAAGGTTCCTGTAGGTTCATATTTCACGACATGCCTATGCGAGGGGGTTCTTGTTGATATTGCAATTCACACTGCCCAATCCCTTACATACAGCCAATGGCTCTATGGATGAAGTATCACCCTCGTTCAATAAAGGTACACTGACTCTGCGTGCTATATGGGCTCATTCACCCAGGTAGCTATTCTTAAAAGAAACTTAGGTCAATAATTTTTCGGTCTGTAGCACCTACACACTGTTGAAGATATCAAAATTTGGCTGGGCGGCAATCATCGCCAGATCGTATGTCGTCGGCATCCACAACCCCAGTGCCACAGAATTACGTACCAACATGCTCCTAGGATCCGTTTCGTGGTTAGATATCATTGTTTTTTTAGGCTTCGCAGCTATATATCTACTGCGAGACATCGGGCTTCTGGATACACTTATTTGTGCAATCCAAGCACTTCCGTTCCTTGGTGAGTTGCGGCCGCGGATCTTCGTGAACACCGCAGAACGAAGCTAACGTCTACCAGTACTTCAACTACCGGTGGATATTGTACGGGAACGGTACCTGACCGCTAAAAAACATCAGTTGCCATTCACACAGCGAACGACACTATTCCAGGACCTAGTTGTCCGTTGCATGCGCTATGCTTTCTCCAACATACCAAGCAGAATCACCCGGGTTTTCTTCACGAGGGGTGTTACACTACCGTTCCTAAGATTCAGGATGTTTCGCCATGGATACTTTAAGCAACTTGCGCGTCCAATATGGAGCGAGGTTCATCGCGTAAGCCGAGACCATCTGTAGACATAATTCGAATAATTAGTGCTGACGTCTGATATCAGGCTGAAGATGGGTTGAAGGGACTATGGATTGTTGAAGACCGAGACAAGAAACCTGATCTCTTTATCTATTATTCTCATGGCGGAGGTTTTGCGATGGGTTCGTCTTACTTTTACCTCGAATTCTTGATTACTTGGATATCAATCCTTAAGGAATCCGGATTCGTGAATCCCGCAATATTTGCCCTGGAATATACGCTTGTTCCAGAGCAAACATATCCGCACCAGCTTGGGGAAATGCTTGTTGGCTATAATTACGTTCTTTCAATCGCCGGCGATCCTAGTCAAATAGTTGTAAGTGGGGACAGTGCTGGAGGAACTCTTACTCTCAGTCTCTTGCTCAGTCTGGCAAGTCAACATCCAAACAAAAAGCCAGCTTTGGCTACACTTATATCGCCATGGACTAATTTGGTTTCTGAACTAAATCGTAACACTTCTACGGATTATCTTAACGTTGAAAAGCTCCATGATCTCGCAAGGCAATATGCTGGTCTTCACAGAGTGTATGATCCACTTATATCTCCCGGGTGCTGTATGGATACGCTGTGGTGGGAGAGGGCCATGCCTACCAAAGGGATGCATTACTATTACGGTTCCGAAGAAGTTTTCTGTGAGAGTATTCGAACAATGGCCAAAAGGTTGGAGAGAATAGGGCCAGTAACCTGTCATGAGGATGAAAGTCTTCATGCATGGCCTTTTGCTGTTTTGTTTCTCGGAGGACACAAGGAGGAGAGGGCCGCAGGATTGTGGACAGTTTCCAGAGACATTGCGCAAGCTTTATTGTGATTACAACGGATATCAATTTGAAAAAGGTAGCACTTATATAGAGAAGTACCTACTTGAGTGCATGCACTTTATGCATGCACTTGCAGCCAGGACTTCAGTGTCGTAGAAGTACGCGGCTAGGGGAGGCCTATAAAGTAGCTATTAATTTATTAAATTAATTGCAATCTTGTTTCTAGAATCAAACCAATTCATAAAGTACTTAAGCTGTTACCATGGACGGACCCTAATCATTATTCTTCCTCCAAAAGTTTACTACTGGCACCATCCATGTTGCTTAAAAATGCACCCTTCCTTCTTTTACTCCAAATGTCCCAAAATACGGCCATAAATCAACGCCAAGGATGGGTGGAGCCTCATACATATCACCACGGCCATGGGTCAAGTTTAGAGTTCGAGGGAACACCTAGGATCGGTTCTCGGCTCAAGGAAATTCAGAAAAAAGGAAAGAGCAGTATAACACAACAACCCTTTAGGCGCCGCGGCCGAGGCATCAGCTTCTGAGCAGGCGATAGGTACTTACATGCTGTGAAATGCCACCTTCATTCTTTCCCTGTTAACAAGGCCAGGGTTCTATTAGTAAAGGTTCTTCATGATGATCTTCTCTAGGAGGAAAATTCCACTCGTAGAAGGATGAGTTGATGGAAATTTAGATTTCGGAAGAAGCCTATTTCAGTAACCCATGCCTTGTGGAAACACAATATGACTTCAGACATACAATGCAGCCAGCCAAGTACTAGTTGGCGTTCGGATGTGGTTGCAACTCTCCATAGCATCAACTTCAACTCCAGCCTCGAGCCAGAGTAGGCTTCTCCAACGTTCAACGTTCAACGCTGCTCAACGCTCGTTCCCAAGAGACCCTGGAGGTTGACACATAGCCACCACCCCTCTCTATCTTACAACTCCAATTGACGACCCCCTCACCCCCGTCATCCGTCGGCCTCTACAAATAAGAAACCTTTCGCCTTCTGAGGCTCTTTGCTCCGTCCACTCCCCCGGTTCCTGCATCTTCTGTGCTCTCAGCCGACAATCTTCTCGATCTTCTCAGACGGTCTTCCCCGTTTATTTTGAATCGTTATTTACAAACAAATTCAAAAAGAACGGTTGTAGATACTACTCTCGTTGAAGATGTCGCAATTGCTGTACCGACTGATCACCTCTGATCACTTTAGCGATAACCCCTTTCTCGCTGTGGCATATCTGGCGTACGGATGCACCCCTCCTTCACCGAGCGAATCATATTCGCATCACTTAGCTGACTCCACTACGTCCTGAGATAGTCGATATTCTGGTCACATAGGAATACACCATTTTCTCTGTACAAAGCTTCGGGAGTTCAGCTATGAAGAGATCGAGTTCTTCCTTCCGCAACTGTGCCATCTGCTTGTTAGCATAGAGAATACGGAATCTGTGGCGCTGGAGGAGTTTATTTTTGAGCTATGCGAGAAATCAGCGCATGGGGCTCTTCTGGTATTGACCTTCCAAAGAGAAGATAAATGCACGTCATAGCTCTAACCGCGGCACATAGACATTTTGGCTGTTTCAGACGCATCTACACGATCTATCGGGGGATCCGACGTCGAGTGCGTTTAAGGTATATTTCCAGTATGAATGTCTTTGGGACATAGTATTCTGACGTAAAACTTTACAGACATGTAGAAGAATCTATAATAAGGTGCAGCATATAGTGTTTGGTGCAGAAGAAAGTAAGAAAAAAGAAAGATTAAAGGAGAATGTTCTGCCAGTTACCTTGCTGGCAAGTTTGGTTATAGGAAGCGTTGCAGCTCCATTTTTACCGAAGTTCGCGGGACCTTTAGCTGTTGCGCAGGCACGGAAACCGCATGTTTATCAATCAATAACAGATCTCCCTGGAAAACTCACTCGAAGCAAAACCATTGCGACCGGGCAGCCAAGTCGACCAAAGAAAGAGCGGCCACGAGTCAAGACCTCAGACTCCACCTCAGCCGTCTCTACTAATCAGCCTTCACATACCAAATCGCCAAGATCCCCCCACAGCACACCAACTTCGCCAGCCACCAGACCTGAGAGAAGGTCATTTTCACTAACACGGCGGTCATCCTTCAAATCGGATTCTCTCAATGTCCCACTTATGTCACCCACCGCTTCCTCTTCTTTGCCGGATCTTCGAATGCAACGAAGTGTTACACTCGGTTCATCATCTGGGACCAATAACATTCGTCGCCGAAAGGAAAGGCCTTTAGCTCCAGCACAGCTATCTACTTCTAAGAAAATTCATATGCTAAGAGCAAATTACTTCCGCAACCAAACTCAGTTTCTATCGGCATTGGAAGATATATCAAACAAGATGGTTTTGGTGCCAAAGCCGATCCGGCTCAGTGCTCTACGAACAGAATTGGCTTTACTCAACAACTATTTGCCCGCTGAAGTTGATATTCCAGTGATTTGCCCTGCCACTGCTGGTCAAGATAGTTGGCAACCTGGCCACCATCGAGTTGTTCGCATAAATCCAGCTGAGGCCACTGTTCTAAATAGTGCTGAAAGAGTACCTTATCTGCTCATGGTAGAGGTTTTGAGAGACGATTTTGATTTCGACCCAGAGAAGCCGGATAACCAACAGCTACTTTCCACACTGCTTTCAGAAGAAGGTGCTGAAGGTTCGCGGCGGAGGATGTTTGATTTGTCGGAAGTTCCGCCAGCTGCGTACCGTAATGATAATGGTGAAACTGAGGTAGATAGCGTCTTCGAGCCCTCCACAGGGGATATCGGAACAACCCCGGTAGCCAACGGGAATTTAGTTGAGGACGTGGATCAAAATTGTGATCCGGAAGTACCTGTGGCAAAGGCTGTGGTACCAATACCACGGCTTTCTAGCGGGGCATCATCCAGAACATCTGAGCGTTCCGTCACTAGATCTGGTAGTCCAGGGCCAAGGAAGCCCTACGGTTCTTCGAGACCAATTAGTGAAGCGCCTGATCTATCGGCTCTTGCGACTCATATGAGGATGGCATCTGCTATGCTAGCCCAGTTAGACGCTAGCAGCTCAAAGCGACCAAAGAACGAAGTCGCAGCCATAAAAGAGAAAATTATTGCTAGTATGCAGACTTTAGAGGAACAAAACTTCTTTGAAACTGCCCCCCTACAATCGTTTGACACAATTATAGCAAGTGCGGCAGTGGCAGCTCCGTTATCGTCAACAGGAACAGAAGGCAGTGAAACGACAGCTCCATCTAACTTGAATGCTGAAGCTGGAGCGGCTCGCATGGAAAATGATCAAAAAACCTCAGGTGTGGAGCGGAAAGCAGACCGGGATGACCCCAGTGCAGCGACATTTGGGGAAGAATGGACCGTCAAGAGAGAACGCATAAGGAAGTCTTCGCCCTATGGCTGGTGCAAAAATTGGGATCTTCTAAGTGTAATTGTCAAGACTGGTGCGGATTTGAGGCAAGAAGCCTTTGCATGTCAGCTCATACACGTTTGTGACAAGATATGGAAGAAGGCTGGCATACCAGTATGGGTCAAGAGGATGCAGATCCTTGTTACTGGAGAGGTAGGTGTAAAATCTCTTCGTAGCTACGTTGTGCATCTCATTTTGTTGACACAAAGTTAGTCAGCGGGGTTGATTGAGACTATCACGAATGGCACATCTCTGCACTCTCTGAAACGAAGTCTCACAATTGCGTCAATAGCTTCAGGAAAGAACCCTAAGGGTCGAATCGCCTCGCTCAAGGAGCATTTTGTCAAGGTATTCCCTGATATCCACCCTGTATGCATCAAAACTGATGGCAGAGTAGACTTTTGGAGAACCCGATTCGGAGACGTACAAAGCTGCTGTAGATGCGTTTACCAGATCCTTAGCAGCATATAGCGTGATCTGTTACATACTACAGCTAAAAGATCGACACAACGGTAACGTGTTGATCGATAACCAAGGGCGTAAGTCAATTTATACTCTTCCAGCGCATTGCCTCACGCTAAGAATTTCAAAGATATCATACACATTGACTTCGGCTTTATGCTTTCAAACTCTCCCGGTTCTGTAGGGTTTGAATCTGCACCCTTTAAACTCACACAAGAATATGTGGACGTGCTTGGGGGTGCTCTATCACCGGAATTCGAAAAGTTCCGAGCATTGTTTAAGCAAGCATTTCAAGGTAAATATTTAAAGACTTTCCCGGGTATTCTGGTATCAAATCTTAATTTAACAATTCTTTATTAGCATTACGAAAGTCGGCAGACAACTTGGTGGACCTGGTAGAATTAATGGGCAAGGAATCTCGAATGCCGTGTTTCTCGTCTGGGGTTGCGTATGCCACCACTCAGTTACGGCAACGTTTCCAACTACACCTCAGTGAGGCAGAAGCGGGGACATTTGTGGACGATGTTTTAATCCGGGGATCCCTGGGAAGTTATTCCACGAGAATGGTAGGATATCTTTTTTCCGATATTAAGTTAGTTTCGGATACTGACCAATTTTCCCCTAATAGTACGACCAATTTCAGTACTTATCACAGGGAATTTATTAAAGTAGCAAGTTATTGGTATTTCTTTGTTTATTGTAACGCGTTTCTGCGTCCATTTTTCATTTTGGTTTAATACGGAATTTTGGACGTATTATCAGCGAGCAAGATATCAGCTATTTTCTCGGTATCCCCAGCGTTTTTAATATTTTGCGATGTGCATATGAACAGACACCTTTATTTATCCTTCCGTCTCTTGTGTCGTTTTTCTTTTTCACTCCTCTTTATGGTGTCTTCGCTCGTTAGTTTGGAATTGTGTGTACAAGGCTCTCCGTCTTGGGATGTAGGGTTTTTGGGAGGGTTAGAAAGATCTCGTTTCGGTTTTCGTGAGAAAGCATTAATGTCTAGATATTGGCGTTGTCGGTTGATTTGATGCTTCTTTGGTTCATCATGCATAGCATTCTCTATTTCTATTTTCTGTCCTCTCGGGTAGATTTATCTCCTCGCTTACCAAGTGGGTATCTGAGCGAGGCAGTCCTGTATACCCCGGATTTTCGAGAAGGTTTCTAGTCAATCAAGTTCATGAACCACATAGTTGAATTGACTAAACCGTGTGATTCATAAATACAATGCCCGCGCTCTATCTTGTCAACACCATCCCGACAGACAATCAAGAATGCTAGCTAAGGAGACCCTTTTATAGCACTAGTATGCGAGTACATTGCATGCTCTCTTACTACAATACCAATTTGAGCTATCTTCACAAACAATCACTCGGTCTGCATGTTACCCGGGATGCAGCTTTATGTGCTTAACCCCTTTTACTCGTAAACCAAGAGGTAAAAATTGTAAGTGCTCTGATATATTAATTAATACTAGCCTTTATGATCTACCAGTTCTTCTACTAGCTAGGTATGATCAAGCCCACTGTAACCATTCAGGAACGAACGCGTGAATATACAAATCCAGGTGCATCAAGTGATTATATAATCATGAACGGTCACTCGTTCAAGTTGATTTGCGGCTATGAATATTCTAACTACATGTACCGTGTTAGACACTAGAATTTGACAGGATTAATAGACAAAGGGATCAATTACGTGAGTAAATATATTCCTACACTCATCTTCCCTCCTCACGATCATTACCCGCCGACGATCCTCGTGTACATAAAAGAACCGAGGCCATTGAACATTTTAGGCTGAACATCTACTGGAGATCTTGGCATCTATCTTAAGTTACGTTAAGTACGTACCAGAAGTTTTTTCCGTTCATTGCGGGCTTTATCTGAGGCTGCTGGGGGTAGGGTCGCGCGCCAGGTGGACTGCACGTTTGTGAGTTTCTTGCTTCCTCCCTTGCAGAGTAAAATCGTTCTTCCATCGTATTCTCTAAACCTGCATAAACAAAGGAGTCCAAGATACGGACAGTAGTGTTTTTTTTATCTGAATATAAGCCGATATATGAGGTCCAATAAACTCTGTAGTACCAATATCACTTGCGAGAATAAAGGTTTTACAAGCTCTTAATGATGCAGTCAATGCGTGGAACAGCAACAACAGGGAACAGTACACACTTGCGGGGTGGGCATGGTTCCGGCACAGCGAAAAGGAGGTATTTGTATTTCTGGATAGACAAGGAAGGCGCGAGTACAATTTGGGAACTATGAGAGACAGGCCAGGCACCATTGAGCTTCCAGTCGCATCCAATACGTTAGACAGATACCCAGGGTACGAAGGGTTTATTTTTGGTTACAGGAGGAAAAACGGAAGGAGAGACAGGACCAAAATTGTTCACAAGTAGTTATTTTCTTTCTTTATTGTTGAGATGGTGGATGGAGGGGCGTTCTGGGGGGAAAACATTGTATTGATTTAGGCTGGGGCGGAGACCAGCGAGTGTCATAGCCTCCGCGCTGCATACACGAATGAATTCTCAATCAATCAATCAATCAATCAATCAATCAATCAATTTTACAAGCTCTCGCAAAGTTTCCCGAAGGTCCATGGAAGTAAAGACATAGGACAATGTGTCATGATCTATGGGTCGTGAGCATAGAACACACCACAATGGAATTGATTCAGCAGAATGAACACAGACTGCCATTGCGGGCTGAAACTTTTGTTGTATGGGCACCTACGGCAGTGATAGACAGTAGCAACAAACATTTTAAGTCTCGCCACAAAGCTTAAGGGAAATTCCACACAGTTTTTATCTTCTTATTTTATGCATGAGAACATCTATGTATCCTTCTCCCACGTTCCATCTGCCAGCTTCCCTTCCCTCATGCCCATCCCTTGAAGCCTATATGTTTCTACCTTACCGGCACCTTCGTCCTCCTCGAGAAATCCAACTCTTCTCCTCAGTTTTGCAACCTCCTCTCTTACCCTTCCCGTCGTCTCGATTCTTAACTCTACAACCTTTTCCCCAGTCTTTAGGTATTCTTCGTCATCGCGGTATTGGTGTTTAAGGTCATGCCACTTGCTTCTCAAGTCTAAGAATCTAGAATCCGGGACAACCTCACCAATATGTAGAGTTACATTTTTCCCCACACGCGGAAGAAAACGCGGAAAGCTACGAGACTCGTGCATTATGTCGGAAAAGCCGGTAATGAACATGGGAACCAGCGAAGGTTGGATAGCGGGTTCCAGAAGCAGACGAGAAACACCCCACCTAAAATATCGCATTTCATATTTTGGGTTTTGGTGGACCTGTGGGAGATATCAATACTTGGGGGCAAAGACAGCTGGAGGACTAAGAACTGACGCGGCCTTCGGGGAATATGTGCATCCAATGATGTTGAGGAGCGTTGAGCAGAGAAATCGCCTCTGATATACTAGGCTGAAAGAGGCCTCCCCGAGGGTCTTTATGGAGACGAAAGGTGGGAAGTACTTGGCCAGCTGCAAAGAAGCTGCCCAGTGCTCTGGGTATTTGAGTCATGATCAGTCACTCGATGTTATTACAATGGAATTTTTGATGAGATGAAAGCACAATTTGCATTAGAAGAAAGACAGATGGATATCAAAAACAAAATTAAAAGGAATTAGAGACCATAAGTTCTGCTAATACTAGTCCAATTATCTCTACCATTTGCGAGCCGCGATCATGTAGATACCCATATCCAAATGCGAAAGACATACGCAGAATACAGAACAATATTAAGAACTATAGGACTTACTTGTTCTTGAAGCAGATATCATGACTGCCTAGCCCATATCTCAAATCCCGTGGCGAGAACATATATGAACAGGGTAAAAGCCCCCATATTAATGGATCATCCAGCCTGTGAAACGCGCACAGCCAAATGGCCTCATACAATCGTGACGTAAGTCCTCATATCGAATCGTTTTAGAGAGATCCGCAGTAAGCACGGATACCTACACACTTAAATGGTTCGAGACTTGCAATGAAGCTGTCAGCACTAAAGACCACTTTTTCCCGGTGAGACCATTCTGTGGTTTAGAGAGCGAACCTGTCAGCAGCCCCGCATTCCGCTCATTTCGCCTTGCTTTGAGTAACTCCAAAAATTTATCCATTCCATCCACTTTAACGCGCTGTGTTCCGTAAAGAAATAAACGACTAAGAATTCCTGTGGTCGCCATTGCGGCAGTCGATGCAGCAGTACGCCATAACGAAACCGGAGATGCTTTGACTGACATGTTTATATGTGTGTAGGTATTCTTGGTTGTTCTTTTCTTTGCCTTCCAGTTTGGAGATTTCTGTGTAACGCTAGAGGAGCCAATCTTGGAGCTACAAAGAATTCCAGGACTCTGGAGCATCGAAAGCCGGGTAATGCGACGTACCGGGTCAATGGCGAACCTGGGAAGATCATGCTGTCTCACCCGGATAGAATGACTCATCTCTGCATTTCTGTTCTCTCAAGCAGAACGGCTAGACATTTTCCTTATTTAGTATTTAACTATTTATTTTCTTTATCCTGTATTGATCAAAGGCTCTAGGAGTTTATGATTCTCCTGGTTTATTTTTCTACATTTATACTTGCAAATTCAATGGGCCAGTGAGGTCTTGTGCGTATTCGTCATTGAACCAGGTTCGTCATTGACTCAGAAAAGACTGTAGGTACATGTACCTACATGATATCATACTGTAACATACCCTACATACAGTACTTTACGCGCATGGAATTTGAATTGCACATGCCACATATGAGAACTGCCAAGCACCCAAAAGTTCCTGAACCACACGTCAACCCAGCCCTCCCTCAGACCATGCTCTTGTAACTCCATAGCACACCCTCGTATCACCCCTTTATCATCGCTACTTTGAGTCCCTGAGCCATCTACCTCGCCTTTTCAAGAATGGAGAAATTCTCAAAATTTCGTGATCGGGGTGAGTTGCCTTCCCCTTGTCAAGCTGTGAACGGGCGAGAGGTCGCTAAATTCCCATGAATAGGCACTCAAATTGCGCCCTTTCTGCCTATCAATAACACCAACTCCATCTTTCAGAGCGCCATAGGCTTGTTTTTATTCGCTTTCCGACTATCGTTCTTTCTATGTCTGAGCATATCGTACTTCCTGGTATTCCAGTGGTTACCGATAGGGAGCTTTATCCGGAAGGCGTGGCTATGGAGTATACTGCTCTCCTCGGGGGTGTGGTGGATTGATTTGCAAGTTGAAGGAGTCAGGAAAGGGTATTGTGTCCTCTTTCTCCCTCGCACCTCAAAGGCAAGATGTCTAATCAACAACCAAACTAGATCATTATTTAAAAAATCCAACAAGCTTCCCAGACCAAACACTGTAATTCTCTCATCTTTTAACTCCCCACTTGACGCGATCTACCTTGCCGCCATTTTCGACCCAGTATTTACGGCCTCTTACCCCACCACTCGCAAAGTCGAACATATTTCACTTTTCACGGCCATACTACGGGCTTTCTCTAAACCTTGCCTCTCTCCTCCGAAAGGCGCGACACTTCATACCGTCGCATCCCTTCTGAAGTCCAATCCCACTCGAACGGTAATTGTTTTCCCCGAAACGACAACTACCAATGGCCGCGGTATCCTACGTTTCGCCCCATCACTTGACACGACTCCAGCGCAAATCGCCATATTCCCAATTTCACTCCGTTATACCCCCGCCGATGTGACTACGCCAATTCCAGAGACGTATTTCGCAACCATGTACAATCTCTTGAGCAGACCAACTCACTGTATACGTGTACGCATTGCAGAAGCAATTTATAACAGATTAGAGAAGGAAACACCCGACTATGGCCAGCTCGAAGATTATCACTCGGAAGGCTCTGAAACCGACGAGGAAACAAGACTTTTGTCAAGTTCCTCTAGCGATACAGTGACGGATGAGAAATCACCCCTCGATGGCGGAGAACAGCAAAGCAGGCTTTCCGAGAAGGGCGGCGAGGCGCTGGCAAGGATAAGCAGGAGTAAAAGGTTGAACTTGGGTGTAAAGGAAAAGATTGCATTCGTGGAGGCCTGGGGAAAAAATAAAAGGTGATTTTGAGAAGTATATCTTTAATGCGTATTTGTTGTTAGGCCTTTAGTTGTTTTAGGTTGAATATGGTTTCTTATGAATAATAATGCGATCCCCTCCTCAAACTTTGTGTATAACTACATGTACTTTTGAGACCAAACGCGCAAAACTGGTCTTTCGGTTTAATGTAACCCTATCATAACCCTTACCCACAATTTCAGGACACTTCAACGGGTCTGCAACAAGGATTGATTATATATCATGTGAACCCCAAAGGGATCATCCTCGGCAATCGGTGAAAACCGGGCATCGTCTAAGGCTCCTGACAACCCTTATGAGGTACCACCACTCTAAGTAGGTTCTTCAAGAGATATGTATGTAAGCAGAGTGTGCCTATATAGACCCATCATCAATTCACAAACAATCTGACTTCTCCTGCCCTCTTTGAAGCCTTCAATGCTCCTTTTCTGAGCTCCTTCAATTATAAAGCCATGTAGTATATTTCGCCCGACTCAATCCCCCCCCCCCATGGCGGCATCAAGCTAATGGAGTTTTTCGAGGTGAAGACCAACCGGAAAGTAGGAAAGGATGATCTCAACGCTTGGATGGAGATAATGATAGCCGCGATTGTAGCTATGAACATTACCATACATACATTACTCTCGATTATCTACTCCGTCTGTTGTGAACGTACTCATGAGGATAGTGGAATCGCGATCGGTGCGTGCCCACTCGGTAGTGAGAAGCGCCGCTGTATGCCCTGAAGGGCCATATATGCAAGAATAGAAACAGTCCCCCACTGCTGCCACTCGCGTTTACACGTAAAGCTCAAGATGTGCAAGATGTCAAGCACAGCGAGAGCTAACAGCTGTTAGAAGATCAAACACCTAAAGTTACAATAGTTAGACCAAGATTCGGTATAAGCACCCCAGCGAGAGAAGGTGAGACTACATGTAGTAGCTCTGGGTAAGATGGTGGATACATATTGTGTATCGAGTAGGCTTGGGGTTATACTTGATTACATGTGGCCTTATATCATCATGTAGGACATATCTACAACAATGGAGCTTGGCTATAACTAAGAGCCGGCCACGTCTCGTTCGCTGGGAAGCAAAAAATGGACCAACGGAGGACCATGGCAATTGTATGTTCTCTTCTGTTCTCCCCTTCTCGGGATTCTTGACTGGTGGGGCTCTCAATGTTTTTTTCGTACACGCGCGGTCCGTAGAGCTAGAGTGCCGCCCCAATCTGCTCAAATCAATGAATTATCAATCGATCAATTCCGGCCCGTGTCGGTTCATGAATTATCACTCGCACGCGACGCCGATGCTGATAAAGTTAGCTAGCTAGATAACTGCACATGTACATGTAGTGTTGCCGGCAATAGAGCTTGGACACGTGTAGACAATCTGCGGTATATTTCTCAGGCCTTCAGGTAGTGTGGCACAGCGCAAAGAGGTAGGATAGGACTTGTAAGAAAAGATGGGTACTAAAGACGGGCTAGGGAAACCCCGGGGGTAAGCTCTCCTTAAAATTGGGCCATGCGTTCTATGGACTGAGCCATAGCCTGGCATCAACAAAGACCTCCGCACCCCCATCTAGGCTACCAAGATCGTAAGCACATACTGCAATTTGGAGAATAGATCTGGATAACACTCTCAGATATGTATTTCTTGGACACTTCAATATACTGATGCATGACGTTTCTACTAGCCAGCCCCCATATCCAGAATTGACGAGACGGTAGTTCAACTATAATATGTACGAGCAAAAGAGTAAGTTAGGTTGGCCCTTAATTAGGATGGGCTAACAGTTCATGATTCGAAGGGAATTGTGGTGAAGGTGAATGAGTGACCCGAGATTGCGTGGCAAGAGGAGGGCAGGTGGTAGGCGAGACAAGGACAGGTCACAGCTGAGACACAATGGCCTTAGTTAGCTTAGTAGTTTTTATCTTCATCTATTTCTTTCTGTCTCTCTGTTCCATCCTTTCTTTCATCGTCATCATTATCATCATCACCACCATCACCTTCATCATCATCATCATCATCATCATCATCATCTTCTTCATCATCATCATCTTCTTCATCATCATCTTCTTCATCATCATCTTCTTCATTATCTTCTTCATCCTCATAATCTTCAATCAAGACACTAGATTTTAGCTCCTATCGTGACCGAGCCTGAGCCCTCTCACCTAACTTACGTAGGGCCAAATCTACACTGAAATCCTGCTTCGCTACAAAGCATGGATGTTACGTTAAGAGTCTGTTCATGCTATATAAGGCTGTTTATGGATAATATTCGCTTATGAATAGGTTAGAACACTAATTTCGAAACGGGCTAATTTACTATCCGGAATTGTCATAGGTAGCAAAGAGTCCCCATATACACTAAGATGTATGTACAGCGACCCAACAATATCTAGCTTCTTACCGGTCACCTCATATTGCGAAAAACGGACTGCTAAATAACTCTCCGGCCATGCCATGAAGGAATCTTACTATAAACTACTAAAATACAGTCAATTTAGATCATACAATCTCACTCGGCACTCACTCGACAATCCTACACCACCTCCCGCCCACCTCCGCCCTCACCCCTCTGATATGCTCCCGCAATGCCGCTACCGCACGTCCCCTCTCCTCCCTGATTCCCTGCGGCGTGCCCTCCCCCGCTTGCACACACACCACCGTCTCCACACCTCTCCACGCCCGGTCCCACTCAACCTCCTCCCGTAGGGAATCATAGATCCCCGCCGGACAATCCGACACATCCAACCACTTTAGACACAGCAGCGACCTCGCAAACCGCCGCAGCACTCCCGCAGCACCGGGATGCGCCCACCCCGCAAGAGACAGATGCGTGATCGTCGGCACACACTGCCCCACAAACGTCATCAGCCGTGCCCACGACGCCTCCGACGCCGCCGGCCACGCAAGTGATATATGCGTCACTGCTGCAAACCGCGCGCGGCCCACCACCGCCGTATCTGCCGCCGCATCCCAGTCGTCGCTAACCGACGACGCCTCCACCGCCGTGACCCCTGGTTTCCCGCCATGGAAGAGGCTGCGTAGGTCCTTAAATGCCAGGCTAGGCCCAACCGCCCGCGAAAGATCAAGATGCGTAAAGTCCTCGTCATCGCCGTCACGGAACAGCAGGCGGAGATCATCGGCCTGAAGGGCGCCAGCGTTATGGGCGGCAATATACGACAGCAGCAGCGCCTTCAGCCCCGGGCGGAGCGTATACAGGTAGTGCTGATCATACACTGTATGAAAGCGCCAGTTCCTTGCGACCGCGACCAGCGCAGAATGTGCCAGGCGGTGGCGCGCAATCTGCGGTAGGTCCGGGAGGCGGTTTATGTCGCCGCCGACGCCGGCGCCCGCGCGGAATGCTGCCTCCTCTTCGTTCGATGTCTCTTCGGGTGCGGCGAGCCACGAGGCGGGTGGCGGGGGGCCGGGAATTCGATTCCGGCGGCCTCGGAGGACGCCAATTTGTGGGCGGGGGCGCGGGGGCGGCGGAGGTTCGGCGTTTGCGAGGATGAGTTGGAGGGAGGGGGGGACGGAAGGGATTGTGCTGATTTGGCGTCTGGGGGCGTCTGGGTTTGGTTGGGAGGTACGGAGGTGTGCGAGTAGGTCGTTCACGCTTTGGTCTCGGGCGGCGGGGGTGGTGGAGACATTTTGGGAGGATGAGGAGGAGGATGTGTGAGGGGTGTGGAGACTGGGTTGCGACTTTAGGAACTTTGGAAGATGTTTCTTGGGCATAGAGTGAGGGAGGGGGGGATAAGAGGGGAGTTGAGAGGGGGAAGGGGAGTTGGTGATGTTGTGGAGTGAGGTCGATATCGATAGCTACTGTACTAAGGTAAGCTCTTCGCGATATCTCTGACTCGCTGACTCGATTCACGGGGCTCATCCGTGGCTGAGAGATCACACCGCAGCCACAGCAGACAGACACCGCCCAATCACTGAGCATCACTCGATCTTGGCGGACATTAAATCAGCACTGGACGGCAGCTGAGTACTTGTATGATGCAAATGGTACAAGTCATTTTGTACAAGTCAGTTTGTGACCGTAAGTTCACGATCCACAAATCTTATGTCTATGTAAGTTTTGGCGCTCTTTATCACCTGTCACGTTTCGTTCCAGGGAAAGAAAAAAAGTGGGAGCGTTTTTCTGCTGAGCTGTGTATCGGCCCATTATGTTATGGTGCCTGTTGCGCTTTACCTCACGCCGCAATGGCTCATCTCCTTTTCCCCCAACACTCTCCCAACTTACATATCCCAACCACTAGAGTAAATACTTAGCTACCCACAAAAGCACCTATCCTACCCTACCTCCTAATACTTACCTGAGTAGCTATGCAAGTTGTGTGAATAACTGCGCACCTCACTCGACTGTGCACGGCCTCCAATGGCCCGAGAAATCGTTCCAGCCGGCGCTCTCACCTCCTTTTTCCGACGCCGTGGCCCTGCCTGCCCTCTTGTACTCCAAAAGTGGAGGTGGAGTGAGTATCCTTACCTACTACCGGGTACCCGGGGACATCCCAACAAGAAGTTGTGGTGCATTGCAGTGCATCACAGCATATGTACTCTACTCTATTATGAGTACAGGATGGATATTGGCAATTTACATGCATAAAGATTTCCGTCTGGTTCTTGCTCCTGATTGACATTAGGGATACGTATGTTCCCGCATACCCTATATACCGCGGAGTAGGGTAGGGCAGGGTAGGTAGGAGGGTATCTGGTCACTCCACAAGTAGATGCACCTCCGATTGAGTTGACTTCAAAGTACCTCGGATCAATGGAGGTCCTGGGTATAGTGCGTGTAGGCATGATATCTAGCTGGATACATGTCTGATCTCTAGAGTAGGTAGAGCACCAAGACGCGTACACTTTTGCTTGGCGGCTGTATATCTGATGCGAACCCTTCGATATCGACAATACTGGCCCAGCAAGGGGAAGAATTGAGTGATGTATACAAAGTATACTCCACTCTGCTCTACTCTATCATATATTATGGTGGGGAAAATCAAGGCACAGCATTGAAATGTTTCGGTATAGTACCATGGTTGTTGTTTCTGCTCTAAGCGAATAAGTTGTGACCTTTTTGCATCGGTCCGGACCCCAGTGAAGGTACGTACCCTGTCCGCGTCACCCACGTGAGAGAGTTAGAGATCAGAAGAAGAAACAGATTGAAACAAATGAGTGGATGGATGCTGCCGCTGTCCGATATCGCGGTCGGCCGGTCGATTGGTGTTGCAGATACAGTAGGTAGAGTATTGCTTATTCTCCAGAGGAGGGGTTTTGCACAATGCACACAGCAGAATAGAGTTTGCCCATATGAACAGCACCCCACCACCACCTTCCCCCTCCTCTCATCGCTCCTCCCTCTGGCTGGCTGGATGGATGGAAAGAAACAGAACCAGTGTGAAGTCTGAACCGCACATGCCATGCAAGGAACCGAGCGACCTGCCTGCGTTGCCTTGCCGTAGCCGGTGCAAGTAAGGTTTTTCTCACCTCGGGAAAAATAGGAAGTCCGGGACGATACAAATAAAGTTATCAGATCATGCTGGCAGGTCTTGGCCCCTTGGCGGGGGGTGTTTTTCGTTGGCAATTCCCCGCGGAAAGCCGGAGAATGGGATGTGGATGGGGACTAGTGGGACTAGTGGGGGGTGGGTTGGATCTGATAGGCAGGAAGGCAGATTATCTTTAAAAGGGTTTGCTATGTAAAGATGTAAAGATGTAGGGACGCCTTCTTTTTTTTTTTTTTTCGTGGTGGGGGGATCCGGAGGCTGACGGTTGGATATTAGATCAGGTGAGATCATACTTACATGATGATTTGCTTCTACTGCTGTTGTTTTACCGGTTCGATACGGATCCGGGTTTGTGGTGGATGGGATGAGCGTTCATGTTCAGGAAGGAAACGATATTCAAGCGTCCATTTCTAAGCCATTGATCATTCCGCCGTAATCTCGCACATTCTTGAATGCAGGTCAGAGTCAGACTACCTACTGTACTTCTCGATAAGGATAAGAAAGCACTGGTGAGTGAGCCGAGACGAGACGAGCCGAGAGGAGATGGAGAGAGTTATAAGCATGAATAATGGAGCGAATAATTGCCAACCGAGTGTCCACAACAACTGAGTGACCTGGAGGAAGAAAAAAAAAGAAAAAAAGGGGGGGGGGGGGGGGGGGGGGGAGAAGGAAAAAAAGGGACAAAGAAATGATGCGATATGTATACGATGAGGAAGTTTGTTTTTTCTACATCTTGGGATTTTGGGATTTGGCATGTAATATAGACATGGTAATTATGTAGCTAGAATCTCGAATCTACATACATATCTAGAGTGGTTTCGGGAGAGACTTTCTTGCTTGTCCTTGCAGGAGTGCTAGTAGAGAGATATCGAAACAAAAAGGGGAGGGGTGGTGGTGTTTCTCCGTCAGTTGAGGGTTTCGGTTTCTGATAAGCTCGGTAGGCTATTATTTTTTCCCTTCCCTTACCTGATTGTGGAGGTGGCAACAACAAGAGGGAGCAGGAGGGAGGTGGAGGAGAGGATCAGCGCTAGAATAAAGAGACGCATCCATCCAATCCATGACCCTCGACCAAGAGTTCCTGTCCTGAATTTCTCTCCCCTTACTTCCTTTCCGGCTTCTCTTTTTTCCTTCTCTGTCTTCCATACATATACATACGATTTTTTCACAACTTGCATATATACTATTGTACCCCCCGTGTGGTCGAGCACCAATTTCAAAGTCACTCAGATATCATCCATACATACACAGTGTCGACAAAAATCAACACACAACTACTCTGTTCACTCAGTCGTGTCGCAGCCATGGGTAAGTGGTCTAATTAACTCCTTATGAGCCCTTTCCAAGATCCTGCCCGCCTGTCTGCCCAGAAGGAGAAGAAGCCCTTAATCTCCAATTAGTGTCGTTGACGTTGAAATTCGCTCTACCACCGTTCATACCGTTCCCGCTTGCTTGAACGTGACTAATTCTTTTTTCCCTCTTCCCCTACCAACCTACAGCCGATGTACTTTCTCCCCAAGTTTCCCACCATCACGTCCACCTCCCATCCTCACCCTCGCTTGCCCGACCTTCAATGGCGAATTCAAAATATTCCAGCGGCACCGTAACGGCCGTTCAAAAATCAATCCCAGAGGAGCCCCACAACCTCCCGACAACGTCCGTCGACGCCCCCTCGGTAAATGGCAAAGACGAAACGGACCTACAGGTCGACAACCTCATCAAGAAGATGAAGAGTCCTATCCTAGGAATTGACTTTACACGCTCGTCGAAGCCCCGCCGCCCGTCGTTTACGCTCGTCTCGGCGAAGGAGTCGCATGATCTGCTCAGTGATTCCTCTGCAACGAACCTTGCGAATGGTGGGTGCTGTGGTGGCGGGTGTTGCAGATTGCCTGGGAATCAGGTCGTAGCCAAATCTGTACCGCTCTTACGTCCAACGATTGCTGCACCAGATAATAGGGCGTTCAAGAGCCTCAATCTCAATCTTGCACCCCTCACCTCGCGGGCCCGTTTGACTGGTACTACCGCACTCCCCCCACAGACGATCTCACTGGCCCCCATTGAGGCTCCGAAGAACGGTGCCACTGCCAGTGCCGCTACTTCTGTTCACGAATCCACCGCGTACACCCATCCGCCCAAATTCGTCTCTCCGCATCCCCCGTACAGCGTTTTCTCGGCTAAGATTGATGGGACGCGCGAGTTGACTAAGCCTGGTGCCGAGAAGAGGACATACCACTTTGATCTTGACGTTACCGACTACCCGGAAGAGGCTCCAGGAGTTGATTTCCGTGTGGGTGGCGCAATCGGGATCTGTGCGCCCAACAACTTCGACACCGTTGATGAGATCTTTGACATGCTCGGTATCGACGCCGCGGAGCGAGATGCACCCGTCACCCTGCATACGCAAGGCGGGCGTTGGCCGACGATCTGGGGCCAGGAGGAAGAGAGATCCCTGGTGACAACCAGACGTGAGCTCTTGACCTGGACGGTCGATATCCAGTCGTACCCGCCGACGAAGAACATCCTCCGCCTGATGGCTGAGTATGCGACTGACGAGAACGAGAAGACAATTCTCCTCTACCTGTGCTCCAAGCAGGGGCAAGCCGCGTTTTGCGAGTGAGTTCCCCCTGATTGGCCCACACCCCTTTTTTTTTTTTGTTGCCATTGATCTTTCTTATCAGATCCTTTGATTAACACTTTTTCGCTTAGGCTCCGGACCGGGCCCTATGTATCATTGATCCAATTACTCAACGCCTTCCCGTCCTCGAAGCCTAACTTGGAGCACCTGCTATGCAATCTCAAGACGCTGATGCCGCGCTTCTACTCGCTCTCAAATGACCCGCATGAATCGCGCTTCGAGCACCGCCGCATCGTCGAGATCGCCGTCTCCGTGCACGAGTCCCCCGAGAACTGGCGCGACGGTAACCGCACCGGTGTCGGCTCAGGCTTCTTTGAGCGCTGTGCACGCCGCATGCTTGACGGCGGCGAGACCGAGGTCCGCATCCCGATGTTCCGTGGACTCATGGCGAACCCGCTGGCGAAGGAGTTTGTCACCGATGGACCGATGCTCTTGATTGGTGCTGGTGTGGGCATTGCGCCGTTTAGAGGCTTCGTGCAGAGGAGACTTCAGAGCGCCAACTGCGCGAATAAAGTCTGGTGAGTAGCCATGATGGTTGTTGTATATGGTGTATGGATCTGGTCTAATGCGCTCGGTATCAGGGTCCTGCAAGGCGTCCGCGACTCGCTCCTGGACGAGCTGTACTCGGGTGAATGGGGCGCCCACGAAGACAAGATTCGCAAGGTTGTCGAGTCTCGCGTCGGCACTGGGCGTTACGTTCAAGAGGAAGTAATCGCGCAGGCGGACCTGGTATGGTCCATCGTCAACGCACTCGATGGGCGTGTATTCGTGTGCGGCTCCTCCAAGGGTATGGGTGAGGGCGTTGAAGACGCGCTCGTCAAGATTGCGATGGAGAAGGGCCGTCTGTCAAATGAGGGGGCCAAGGAGTTCTGGAAGAAGAAGAAGGAGGGGGGGCAGTACATTGCGGAGACTTGGTAGAGGGTGGGGCAGCGGAGAAGTGCAGACTTGATAGATGGATGGGTTTATTCTTACTATTTCAGTTATGGTTCTTTTGTTCGCATCTTGTGAGAGTTTGTGGTATGGGAAGGTTTATACCTTACTTTTACTTTTTTCTTTCCCAGTTTCTTGTTACTCTTTTTTTCTAACACTCTTCATCATTGGCCCCCCCTTGAAATGGGACGTTAATTCGGGACCCCCCCCCCTCGGTCCCTTCACTTACACTTACACTAACAGTTACTTACTGGCTTCTTTCTTTTCTTCTTGTCGACAACCATACAGAGGGAAACCGCAAGGTTCTTTTTTAGATTAGAGATCTACTTTTCTTTTCATCGTTTCCTTTTTGTTGAGAGCTTTCGTTTCTGGCTGTTTATACTTACCCTTCTTTTCTTTTTTACAATATGCTAGCTTCTTCTTCCTTTTGGGTTGGTTGGTTGGTTGGGATACTTTTTTTTGCATGCATGTTTTTAGAAAAAACAAAAAGGTGTATGGGTGTGTGGGGGTGGTGTGGATGTCTATAACTATTTTTTTTTTCTTTCACTACCGTTTCATTTACAGAGATAGTACTCTACACTGTGGCCGGAGGAGTTGGTCTATCGCGCGCGAGTATCTAGAGGCTTGGGAGGAAGCTGTGAAGCATGTGTATGTATGTACATGTATCTATCTACAGATCTACAAAGCTGTTGTGTTGGTGTTTTGGCTATTTTGTGAGTTTGTGATCATGGGGTTGTGTGGCGGGTGCGTAATATCGGTAGCAAGACACTGTAATTACCATCTAGTGAGGTTTGATACATACGAAGCCAGCTCACTGCGCCGGAAATCCCATTTGAGGGTATTCTATCCAGTAAAAGTGTCAGCATCGTAAGGACAATCATTGACCTCCAACAGTACTGTACCAAAAGGGCGTGGCAGTGAACCATTGTACCAAACACGTACCCGGGGGTGCCGGAAATTGATGCAACGATCAAATAGTCCATGTTCCTCAACAACCAAACTAGCTAACAGAATTTGGAGAGAATCTATGGTACTTTAGAAGCTGGAGGTTGTAGTTATGGTAAGAGGTAATATGAATAGCTATTGCTTCGCCTTTTATTATTGTCTCTTGTCATAAGTTTTCCTTTTGTAGGCTAAAAACCCTAAATTAATCAATTGAAAGAATGCAGACTCTATTCTAGAAACTCGTGTATCATGGGTATGACTAAAACATCCATCCTGTTCAAGCATTGTGTTCTGCTAAAAATTGAAATTCTGAGTGTCTTTCCGCGTTGCTAAGTCAAACGTTGCATCACTTTCCGGCACCCCTGGGTACACAGTATTGGTCGGAATTGATCTGTACTAATACAAAAGTGTCCGAGGATGCAAGTTGATAACCTCGACGGTATACATGGCCGCCTTGTTTTACTGGTGTTTTGTTGACGCCGTACTTCTTGGCGTTATATATATCACGGGCATGAATCACGGTTACTACTACCACTGTATTTTCTAGATACGCATGGTATACTAGATAAAATTAGGTTTTTCAAGGCCGACCCCCTGAATGGTGCGATTTATTTGGATGAGGTTACTTGGGTTGGGGTAATGATCGGTATGAGGCTGGGTGTCTCGAGATACACGAGTGATAGTACATGATGGCAAATCTTTCAAAAACAATTTTGACAACGCCCTTCAATTTGGCCAAAACATTTATTCTGGTCAGAAAGTAAGAGCGTCGGATAAATACTTTATCAGGTTATGTCTAGCCTACTACGTGCCCAAGTCTCGAGACTTTCCAGACGATGGACACGACAGACAAGACAAGCTGACGAGATCCAGGTCCAAGCCAGCCCCATCTTGTCTCACGCCCACCATTAACCTGTCCCCTGGGGCATAAAGTGTCTCCCTCAGGTCCTCACTCACAGATCTCTAATCCTACCCCACTTCTACTATCTCGGATGAGCGTCATGAGCGCTCACTCGAGCCTTGGCACTGGCTCGCGGAGCTGGAACTACAGCGAAAACCTACGCTCGGGACCGGAATTTGGTACACCAGCAACATGCCTTTACCTATCGATTAACTACCAGCTATATACATTGATATAGTTCCTCTGCTCGTGTCAGACTCTCGGTATTACCCAGAGTCCCACAGCGGCGAGAAGAACCATACGCGAGAAAGCCCCCTCCCTTCATGATCGTGGAGAGATAACCTAACGTAAAAGAGCCCCATCCCTCTCCATATCAGGAGAGTGGAGGGCCAAAAGGGAAAAAAGAAAACAAATGGTCGGCTACCATCCCCTTCGTATGAAGAAAAGGGGGCCGACCCCAAAAACGCCACTGGGCCGAAGCCCCACCCAAACCGCCGCCTCCCGGAGGCGGGTGTTAATGTGACCCGGGCGGCCCACTGGCCATGGTGGTGTTCCCGCCCGGGGGTGTTCCGGCCAACAACACCCACCCCGGGCCGAAGCGCCTACCTAGCCGCTAGATCTACAAACCCTCCCCCTTCGGGGAGGGCCGGAAGTACGCTGGCAACCGTCTCTGCTCCAAGAGAGAGCAGAGAGATCCTATGATGCTGGAGAAGGTACGAGGATTGATGGTTTTACAAGTGCCGGTGCCAAAGATAAGTTTTCCCCTTTGGCCGCTGTTTGCCCTAAGTGGTTGGGCAGCCTTGGCGGTTAAAAAAGTAGGTGCTTGGCGCAATTGCGTTAGAGAGGAGGATAATGGGAAAGGTCAATGATAATTTTTACCATAATAAGATTACTCAACACGGCCATATCAGATCAGTATACGGCGAGGGACTTGTGGGTTTTTCTGGGCTGATAGAGAATTTTGGACTTGTGGGCAAAATCGGCGTTTGAAACATAAGAGTGTAGAGAAAATTTTAATTCCACCACACCAGCGTACGTCGTATTCATCCCTCCTATGCATAATCTATGTACTCAAGCCTAATGGAAGGCTCAATCAATCAACGACGATATTGTAATTTAAAAACTGCTAGCTAATAAAGATTAAAGACATCTATCTCGATCCCGCTTGATTGACGCTGTACCCTAATTGTGGTCGATCGATCGTGGGACTAAATTATAAACCGAGTCTGACGTCCCAACCCCATTGATACTTACAGAATGGATAATCGCACCGGGGATATCATTTTGTCTTATCAGATTCTGATCACTTTTCGCTACATCCTAGTACATGTAGTCCTCAGTTTACTAAATCACCTTATTTCCAGGACGGCCAGCAGAGAAAGATATTTAATTCTCTCAATGTAATCATATATGGAGAGAAGCTCTACACACTGACATTGCCAGACATCTTTCCATCTATTTGTTCACTTTTTTTGTAGGGTTGTTCCTACTGTAAGAATATCATTACCATTATCATGATTATTATATATAGCTCGCTCTAGGTATGGCTCAAGAAGCGGTTAAGGGTAGGTGTGTATCCTGTGGCGTATAGAATTCATTGGCCAGAATACACAAAAGTTCCTCATTAGAGTCGTCTTTAGAGTAGAATTGGTAGAGATCCACCCAATATTTTGCTACAGGATACACAGCCACCCACCCAGGATCGAGTCTCGAACCATATTTTTTTTTTATTGATTCTTATTATCCCATAGTCCGTTGAAGCTGCCTATTGATTCGGGTGACGTATTTTCAGCTTGGCTTGTGTCTGGATCACACACCTATTCGGCTGCCACCCTTCCTCTTTTAGTAATTATTCTGTCAAAATAGGCAGCATCTAATTCCCGGATTATGGGATAACGCGCCATTAGTCGCTGTTCACCGCTGTACACATAGCTCATCCGCCGCTTTCAATTGAACTCATCTACATGCTGGTCGCGTCGTCACGGAACGCGTCACAATAGACCCTTTGCGCTGAGGGATCCGGAGTCTTTTTTGACAAACTTGGCATTAAGATAGATGCCAAGAAACAAGAGATCTGGCTTCCCAGATCTGAGAGGCTAATCGCGAAATTAGACCTCCACTACTTCTAACATTTGTAGAATCACCAAATGGAGATCATTTTTTCATGGGAACTAAAATTCAGATGCAACTACACCTTACATCAAACCCTTAGGAATTTAGCAACAGTGTTAATGATAAATATAATCGATTTACTTTGGGGTTGAGTTTCTTCTCTCACCAAAAACTGGGTAATACCGATCAGTGGCAATTAGCAGCTACATGCATCCAGCGCAAAGTGTCTGGCCCTTTACCAAATACAGTCGTTCACCGTCGCTTGACGAACACTGCCAGTTGACGAACAGGGGACTTTGGGCCAATAGGAAGGAGATCTCGCAGCTTGGCTGTTGCTTGCCATACTTGGAACCCCTGTTCGTCAATTGGCAGTATTCGTCAATAGACGGCGAACGACTGTAGTTATACGGGTTAAAAGGCTCTCTTATCAACCCCAATCCCTCTACACTCCTGTCTCACAGCTCTTAGCCAATTAAAGTTTCATTCTAACCTAACCCGAGAGCTCCCAACACACGGATAGTTTGCCTGACTATCAAGGCATGCGCTACCCCGAGTAGAGTTTCCTTCTAAAGACATCTGAATCCGCGATCTGTTGGAGAGCATGCTGTTCAATATGTTGATCTATGAGCCGAGCCCTATCTATATATCCGTTCAGCTGAATCGCTTCCAAGATCAACCTTCGATCTCGATACGATACAAGATCAAATGTCTTCAAAGCCACCCTTGGGCTCAATTGAACGGGCCTGAAGATAACAGTGGCCAACATACATGTATATTTACAACCCTTCCTAGAGGGACACTTCAAGACCAGAGGGGCTAGACGAGGATGGCATCAAGCGATTGTAACAATGTCTAAGGCAGCAATCCCGTGCGGGCCGTGCCGCTACATTGTACGTTTATTCTCTGATCGAGTTGACTAGATATCACACGTTAAGGAGCTGTACGACTGAATGAACAATACCAGAGTTCAGTACCAATTAAAGTTAATTTTGTGCTTGTGAGTTGGACTGATCGTCTAAGGGATTGCTACCTAGAAAAAGAAAACAAGACAGGAAGCGGCGGGGCTGGCGAAGCCAAGGCGTTCAATGCGGTTTAGCTTATTTTGATTCGCCCGGAAAAAGCACTCGCGGGCGTTCACAACCTGTCACTCGCACCTGGAACCAGCGCCTTCCAGACCAATCGTCTTAGTACAGCTCAATAAATTTATCTTCTCTATCCCCCATTATAGCGATTAATGCTGATTATCTACATGGATTGCTTCTTGGAGCGTCTTCGGCGGTATGTACACGCATGCATGCAGTTTTCCGCAAAGTGCGCTTTCGATCATTATCACTTTTTCAGGCAACCAGCAAACGGACTTATGCGGTTGGAACTTAGGTGTTTTTACCCCCCCCACGGACCACTCTCCGTTTTGGGAAATGAATATTGGGTGCCTTACCAGCACAATTATTTCAGCCTCATATATGTAGATCATGAGCTGTCGTATCTGAATATAAGAGGGGCCGGGTCCGTGGTGTACAGTACTCCCAACAACAACATCATCTTCAGACATTCCTATTACTCTAGAGAACTACTCTAAAGCTCTATACATCACCTATCTCTTTTTTTTTACCAGCTTAACATCCTCCACCGAGCTCGAAATGAAGGGAGACAGAAACGGTACCGGTGAATCTCAGGACGCAGGGATCGGATCCCGTTATGCAGCACAACGTAAGATGGCTCTATCACTATTGAATACATATATTATCGCGTGCAAAAGCTCCGTGTGCTTTCAGGTGCTAACCCATCAGGCTTAGGCTCAATGATTTTCTCGTCAGGCCCCATAGCCGCCATCATGCTCGCCGGAAAGACCGGCGCCGGCAAGAGCAGCCTCATCAAGCTGCTTGGTGGCCGCGACGCCGAGGGAAACGAGCCAGTTTCCGATGGCGGGCTCGAATCCTGTACCTACTGCCCCCTCCAGTCATAGTCAGGATGGAGCTTTCCGCTAACGCATGTATAGGCACGAAGAAAACCACAACCTACATAACCAAGCACAACGGCCGCACCGTGCTGCTCCTCGACACGCCGGGCTTTGACGACTCGGCCGTCGACAATCTCGTGATTCTCAACGACATCGTGTCGAACCTCTACATGTGGGCGCTGCAGGACAAGGATGTACACACGCATGGCGTGCTCTTCCTTCACGACATCAGCGAGACGCGCTTCGGCGGCAGCCAGCAGAAGACGCTGCAGCTACTCAAAAGTATGTGCGGGCCGGAGGCGATGGGGAATGTCATCATCGGGACGACAATGTGGTTCGATAAGGGGGCGAAGTACGAGAGCCAGGTGAAAAGGGAGAGCGAATTCCTAATGAAATATTGGGAGGGCATCCACAAGACGGTCAGAGTGCCAGAGGGTGATGAGGAGGTGGCGAACGCGATTATAGGGGACTTGTTGGCGAGGCCACCGACAAAGTTGTTGGTGCAGACAGAGCTGCTGAGGCCGCCACATACGTGTGAGGCGACGACGGTGGGGAGGATTGCGATACCCGAGGGGAAGCGGGAGGCTGAGAGGTTGGCGAAGGAGATGGAGGAGCAGAAGGAGGAGTTTGTGAGAATTGAGAAGGAAAAGGAGAGGGAGAGGGAGAAGGAGAGACAAGAGGAACACAGGAGGTATTTGGAGGAACAAGAGAGAAATAGGAAGGAAATGGTGGAGGAGCAGGAGAGAAATAGGAGGGAAATTGAGGAGCGTCTTATGGAAGAGCAAAAAAAAAACGCTAAAGAGCAAAAAGAGAGAGAGGAGGCGCAACAGAAACACCTTAAGGAGCTCGAACAGAAACAAAAGAAGGAAATGGAGGACCGCCTTAAGGAAGAGCAAAAAAAAAACGCTAAAGAGCAAAAAGAGAGAGAGGAGGCGCAACAGAAACACCTTAAGGAGCTCGAACAGAAACAAAAGAAGGAAATGGAGGACCGCCTTAAGGAAGAGCAAAAAAAAAACGCTAAAGAGCAGAAAGAGAGAGAGGAGGCGCAACGGAAAAAACTTGAGGAGCTCGCAGAGAAGCAAAGGAAGGAAATGGAGGAGTACGCAGAGAAGCAAAGGAAGAAAATGGAGGATTTCGAAAGGGAGCAGGAGAAAGAAAGAAAAAGGGTGGAGAAAGAAAGAGCTGATGCGATAAGGAGAAAAGAGGAGGAGATTGCAGAGATACAAAGAAAGGCCGATGAAGCGGTAAAGAATGCCCAGAATGAGAGCTCAGGGTGGTGGTGCTCAATTATGTAAGCCTTTCAATTACAGACCTTTCAATTACAGTCCTTTATATATTCGTAAGGCCGAAAGCAACGTTATTCACTGTGAAATTGCCATTAGTATCCCCTTCGTGATGCAGATTATAGGGAAGACGTTTGGGATACGTTGAGCCCTGATCCTCACATGGTAACACTCCTGCGCCCTGATCATATATGTGATGTAATATGCGATCTGGATAACAGATGGTATTTGAATATAGGCGCTGGCGCTTGAACCCATACGATAGCCCTAATAACGGAAGGGAACTGATGGTTTGGACGAAATGGATCCGGGGCGAGGCTAGCTTATATAGTTGTGTGGTAATAACCTCAAGGACATGTTTTAGCAGCGAATGCTTTTCAATTTGATATTCTATCTATAAATTTTACCCTCTGTAGCTGTCCTATCCGTGATGTACAGTAACCTGCATGATGTTTATGGGTGCTTAGCTTATTAAGCCCTTACACGCTAAACTTTAAACTTTAACTTTAGCTTGCACCTGCATGCATGTGGTGGAACCTTATTTGCAGTCCCGCTCCCGTCCCGGCTTCCCGCTAGCTGTAGGCGTTTGCTACATGTAGTCTCGTTCCCAGACTGTTTTGTTGTCGCACTGCGTGCAGACACAAATCAGAGCAAACACAGGCTGGACACGAGACTAGTACACCCGCAGGAAAAAAGTGAGGAAACAACGAGTAGCGTGACAACGAGTGCGTCTAACTTGACATCCCCGCACCCGCAATACAGCCCCGCGAGTATTCCCTAGCCATGCCTTTTGACAAGTCCGGAAAGCGAAGGGAGGCTACTCTGAATGAAAACATAAAAGTTATTGAAGCCCAAGCTAGGGAAGAGTGGGAAAGGCTAGATTGGGAAAATGTATATAAAATCATTGACAGCATACCAAAGAGAATTGCAGCAGTAGTAAAGAACAAGGGAAGTCATAAAAAGTGGTAAATATAGTTCAGAGGCCATAGTATCTATTCTGTATCTCATTGTGTAGTCATATTACTTCTATTAATTTCCATTTTCACTTTTTCATTGGGTTCGGATTGGTTGCACTCGTTGTTTCCTCACTTTTTTCCTGCGGGTGTACATGTATATACAAGTGCATATAGTAGAGACGTCCCTCCTCCATCCTCCCCTCCGCTGCTTTCCCAAAATCATTACATCTCTACTATCAATAATCCTCTAGATTCGGTGCTCGAGATATTAGCATATACCGCTAATCCGTCAATATCGATTGGAGCCCCTACTTCCTGAACCCGCATCGGGGATTTGGTGCCTAGCTTTCTTACTCGGGGTAACAGCAACAGCGAGACAGCGCAGCCTCTAACTGCCTGGAACCTGATAAGACAATACTCTACGACATAACTATTGCCCACCCTAATATGGAGGTTGGATCTAGATCTCTGGATATGGACGCTCTAGAGCTGTATAGTAGTACTGGCGGGAAATATATACGAGAATTCAACACCAACCTTGCTGCTGGAAAAGACGGGATGCTGCGGTGGTATGAGATCTTTGTTCTCTGCTGCTGCTACTGCTATTCGGTATACTCGAGGCTTGAAGCTGGAAGTAGTGTCTGGCTGGGGTAGTTGCGAGTACCTTATTATGCCTTGCGATTGGACCTAGCATTTCAACAGCATCCCAGCAAGTTATCCCAATCAGCGGTCCATCACCGCACAGCCTCGACCTCATAGTGGACACAAAAACCTACATACATCGAGACCCAATATACCTGAGCTCAATTGATCAAGCTAAACACACACCACCAGATACGCAGCCGGCAGAATAAACATTATATAACTACGACTAACTACCCATCTACACAATAGTCTCTACACCCTCCCAGTCGCTCTCTGGCACAACTAATTCCGCTTTCGACTTCCTCACCCTCTTGACCTTCGCCGCACCCGGCTCGTCGGGCGGTTGTGCGGTCATCCGTGGCCGCCCTCTGGGCTTCTTGATCGCTGCCACGTCCTCTACAAGCTCAGGCACGGGATCAGCAACTTTCTTCGGCCTTCCCCTGGCCTTCTTTGCCACTCCCCCGTTCTCTACAGCAGGAACTACAGGCTCAGTCTCGGACTCGGGATCAGCGACCTTCTTCGGCCTGCCTTTGGCCTTCTTAACCGGCTTACTCTCCTCCACCTCTTCCACCTTCACCTCTACCTCTTCTTCGACTACAGCCTGAAGCGCCTTCTTCGTCGCCCGTTTCTTCTTGGCGCCTTTCGCTCCATCACTTCTCTCTGCTGCTACTACCTTTTTAGTGCGCGCGGTTTTACGCCCCTTGCTGGCCTTCTCGCTCTCGGCCTCGCTGACGAGGTCGCTGCCGGGGTCGCCGTCGCTGTCTTCGATTACGCTGGGAAGCCGCTGCGTCCGGGGCGGTTTGGCGGGCTTTTTCGTGATTCGCTTCTTCTTCGCTGCTGGTTCTGGATCGTCGCTCATGATGGAGTCTGTGTCGGTGTCGAGGTCGAGGTCAGCTATTTCCTCGTCTGTGAGGTCTTGCTCCTCTTCTTCCTCGTCTTGGTCGTCTTCTCCTGCTGCGGCGCCTTTTTTCGTTTTTTTAGGCTTCGCCTTGGTCCGTGTCCGGACGCTGAGCTCCTTCACTAGGTCCACCCACGGCGTCATGCCTCCGCACCCCGGACACGCCCCCTCCACCGGTAGCACCTCCGCCTTCATCTCAGCCCCCACCTCGCGGTCCAAAAACACCCCCGCCAAACACCCCACATGCGCCACATGCGCGCACTCCCCATGCGGGCACACGACCGCCGTCTCCTGCCTGGCCTCCCCCTTACACACCGCACACACCACCGCTGCCCCCTCGCCCCCCAGAACCTCCCGCGCCTTCACCAAATGCGCGCCCAACCCCCCCTCGAAATCCAGCCCCTGCAGCCCCCCCACCCCGCCCGCGCCCCACTGCCGCTTCACGGGCCCATCCCCCTCCCGCACGCGCACGTCCAGCGCAACGCCAATGCCCCGCCGCAGTGGCGTGCTCTCGCGCGAGCACCACAGCTCCCAGGAGCGGTGCACGTCGGCCGCGAAGAAGCGCACGGAGAGGGGCCAGCGCGCGAAGGCGCGCACGCGGAGGAGGAGGTGCAGGCTCTGTAGGCGCGAGGTGAGGCTCTTTGGGGCGCAGAGCTTTGGGCGGCTGCTGGAGGTGCGGCGCTTGGTTGTTGCGAGGCGGAGGGGCGCGGGGATCTTCTTGCTGATGTGCGGGTGCTGCCAGGCCCACCTGTCGTGCGTTAGCGGGGGTCGGGGGTTTGTGGGGGAGGGGGGGGGGTTACTCGAACTGCAGTGCGGCAAGACTGGACGGGAAGCCGGCGACAATGCATACCATCTCCCAGGGCTGGTAGTTTCCGTAGCTTGTGCGCTTTGCGCCGCCGCGGTTCTCGCCGTTGTGTTGGGCGAGGCGGCGGCGCGGGTGGGGGGTGGAGCCGATGTAGAGGGCCTTCGTGGAGACGGTGGAGCGCAGGAGGTAGCTGTTGGTGGGAGGGGGTTGGGGTGGTGAGTATTGATTGCCCCGTGGAGAAGGAAGGGGGAGGGAGAAGTGCTTACGCGCAGTAGAAGGTCTGGATGGGCTTTAGGTCTTTCTGCGGCATTGTGGACGGTGTATGTGGGGGTGGCATGAGGGGGTGGTGGTGGTGGTGGTGGGTATGAGTTGGGTGAGGTTTGGGGTGTTGTGGTCGAGGTTGTCAGGGGATCTGCACAGGGCTGTGTGGCGTGGCGGGATCTGATCTGATCTGATTTGATCTGGTCAGATCTTGGTTTGGTCTTGGGTCTTGGGTCTTGGGTCTTGGGTCTTGGGTCTTGGTCTTGGGTCTTGGCCGCTGTCCGGCCTGTACCTGCACAGCCGAGCACGAGGAATCGAGTAATCGTGGGACGGTAGCTTTTTTGGCACACACCCTATAGCAGCGTCGGCAAATTAGAAACTCCGATTCTGCAGGTCTGGGGTGATTCGCGCATCACATATATCTAACATATATCTAACCATATATGTATACAACTACTGGTGATATAAACCAAGTATATATGGCTATGGCGCCATAATAATATTGAGCGCACTGTGGGGTTGGTTGTCTGAATTAAAGGATGGTCGGTAATCAACCTACCGGCCGGCCCAGTTGTAACAATTTTTGCGGTCGCTGAGGATATTTGTCTGGCCAGCTGGTAACCCGGACGGGTTGGGTAATCATGTTAGGGAGTTACTTGGCCGAGTGATAGTTCATGACCGGAAGACTAAGTATCCAAGCCTCTCCTTTTGGCTTGGCCGCCCCGATTAGGGACGCAATGATAGAGATTATTTCACCTACTAGGAGAACACTGATAAGCGGGAATAAGACTGTCAGAAATTTAGCAAGCTCATATGGCAGCGCTGATTTGCCAGGGGTATGTATGATTCACAGTGTCTGCCTGCGGCGGTATCCATAGCAATGGGGTTAGTAGCGTCGGATGCTTTTAATCATTAAATATCACTCGACACATTTGTCCTGGCTGCATGCTTTTTTTTTTTTTTTTTTCTTTTGGTTTAATTCATTAATTACATACAACCTTACAGCTATGGCAATTCCTGGCTGCATACTCGTGGGCGGGCTATTTGCCAGGTAAGGTCTGTGGGCGCGGTATGATGTGTGGATATGGGCTTGGTGGCATGCTTTTGGGCGTGGGGGGTTGCTGGCAGTGCGGATCTCCGCTTTGGCGTCTCATCTAGCTAGCCTCGTGTTTTCTGTGGGGAGGAAATTTTCCGGGTGGTACTTGGCATGTGCCTATGGGCACTCAGCAGCGAGGGAGTGGAGATTTCTGTAAGAGACTATGTGCATAACTTATGCCTCATCCTCGCCGAGATCCAGGGCTTGATCTTACAGCCCGCCCAGAATTAAGGTTATTGTTGCATTCGTTGCGCAACTCTAGGAGAAGCACCCCCGAAGAGTGTGCCACCACACCCCACGTTCTTGATATAGAGTAGGAGAGTGGTGGTGGAAGACCAAGCGAGACGATCTACATATGTAGGTGGCCTGCTACCCTAAACTACATATGCATGTGTCTTCCCTCCGCCTGTCACACGTACTCTATTCTCCCCTCCCGTTGGCTTCTGTGCTTGGTGCATATTGCACCGTGCGCACATGCACCGTGCTGCACATAAACCTCCGAATATTTCCCGAGCATCGCAAAGATTTCGGAGACAAATAAAGTCTCCGATAGCGTGTTCTGGTCCCTCTGTGAATTCGGTCCATGTAGTAACGAGAGGACCAGTCCATTCACTACCAGTTCGTTTTCAAATGGACTTGTAAGTCAACGAGTTACGAGTAGTCACGTCAGTGCTCACGGCTCTCCCGTTCTTTGGTGATTGGGCTGCACATATGTGGTACGGGTGCTTATCCATCACCAAAGCCACTTCGAATAAATATATCATACGAAGAACAAAAAAATACAACACATATTGCGGAAGCTATGATAGAATGCTGAAAGCGAGACTATAAAGAAGTGAATTCTTGTCATAGTTAATATGCAAAGTTGGTTACTCGGGTAAGGCATATTTATTTCTTCTTTCACAGGAGAAAAGAACAAAAAGTACTGCAAATTCGCCGGACCGATATCTGCTACTCCCACCCCTGGATTGAACCTGCGACATTAGGAAGACCAGGCACAACCTCTCGGTGTCCAGTAGGCAAGTGGTGCAGAGAACCGCTAGACCACTCGCCTATGAGTGCTCTTGGCTAGAAATGATACTTGGACGCCAAGACCGGTTACAGGCGCTAGTGCCTCGGGGGTCTCCGTCCAGCACCACCGCCGTTTCGGCTGGCCTGAGTTCGCGATGTCTCGGAAAAACTCATAGTCAGACTTCACCCGTCTATATACAAAGTAGTAGAATTCGATTTAAAGAACACAGCTGAAACTCGATTGTGCTGTGAGCAGTACAGTGAGTTAATTGGGCGGATTGAATTCGAATAGAAGCAGAACTCAATTGATCAATCAATCAACAGAAGCAGAAGGCTTCGGTGAACACATGGTGTGTTTAGTTAGGGTGCAGATTGTGTCTGTTCCGATTAACTTCATGAAGAATCTCGTATCCCCATATACCAACATGTGATCACTCTACTCCGCCTGGAGGTATGAATACGACAAGAGCGAGTGAGGAGAATAATAGTAGTTGGTAGTCAAAACTATCATGTTTATGTGAAGTGGATATACTGTGAGGCCTAGGGTTAATCATCCGTCTAGCCATTAGTAGAGCGGACGGGCGAAGCACAAACATAAATTACGGCTCAACTACAAACCCATAAGTTAATTTGAAAATGGACTACTGCACTCAAGACCTTCAAAGATGGACAACGTTCCTGACAGGACCAGAACAGCGTGCTCTAGCCCGGAGTGTTTTCGCAGTGATTTCGTAGAGTTTTCGCGGTATTTCTGGGGTATTTTCCTGGTGTTCTGCATGAAATACCCTCCGAAAACCCTCCGTTTCAAGCAAAATACTCCCCGTAAAGCCTCCATTCTAAACAAAATACACTCCGGAAACTCTCCGTTCCAATCAAAACTCTCCGTTATCTAGTCTCCGTTCGACGATAATTAATTTATGTCTCCGAATAATAAGTCGCCGACCCTTTCTCCAAGATCCCAATTGAGTGGGGCCACGCTCCTAGACTCACTAAACCCCAGCACTGGTGCCGTATTCTGCCAGGTAAGTGGTAGCCCCACCAGTGTTGAGACCAGCTAGAACGAAAGGCGGGGGTTATAATACCAGCCTTTTTGCCCTTATTTCAGCGCCATTGCAAGCTGGCAGTATCAACGGCTCATTAAATGTGGCGCTAGAATAAACACTCTAAAGCCACTGTTGCTACATAGTGCGGTAGGACGAGGCGGGGCGGGTGCTGAGTCGACACATCAGCATCGAGGAGAGAATATCCTCGGACTTGACACAAAGCGCTTCGACTTCATATACCATACTGAAAATGCCTCAATGGGTGCATGTATTCCGAGAGATGGGGTACTTTTATCTGGAGGTCTCGAGGTATGAAGATAAACTTCGTTAATTGATTGTTAAGTAAAGGAAGATAGAGATATAAGGCCTGTATTTATAAAGAAAGATAGTTGTTCCGTCAATAGTAATATGGTCTAAACAAGAAAGTAAGAAAGTAAGAAAGATAGAAATAAGTCATTAGAACGAATGAAAATTGCACCGGCCCCGTCGGGCCAACAGTTCCTCCGCAGGATAGAAAGTAGTACCACGCCGGGTGTGAATAAGACGACAATCGCATTGTGGCGACTGCCACTGCAAGTGTACTGACACCCAGTTTGTTTCATTCACAAGGTATCACTCGCTTTTATTTCCCTTTATTTCTAGGTCCCTATGCTTCTCTTAGTCTTCGTCATGCATGCATGGCCTTGGTGCAGAAATACACCTCGGTGACATTAGCACATGGCTGGTTGGGATGAGGCTAGCGGCTTTGAGCTTACAGAAAGAAATAAGCTTAATATATAATTAAGACCAACCGCAGGGGTATTCAGGGCCGAGGAATGTTGAGATGAATACTGCCTAATAAGACCGCGATGGGTTTGTTTGAGTAGAGTTACTAGAGTAGAGTGGGGCACATGTAGATGCGAAGCAGATGGAGGTTAGAATAAATTTTATAGGCTGGAGAAGATGTACGTTATTGTCCGGCGCGCGCCGGCGGGCTCAAAACCAGGGAAACTTCTACGCCACATTACCGCAGTCAAGCACTAGTTCAACCCCACTCCTGTCTCATCCCATCCCATCCCACACATCCACCTTTATCCCACCTTCATCCCACCTTCATCCCACCTCTCAACACCATAACATACCCCATCTCCCGTCTACATAATTCATATCGACTACAACACATAGGAATAGAATCTAACACCGGAGAAGGAACCGACACATCCCGCGCACGACAGGAAAGCGACCTCGCCGAACCGTCTAGATTTATTTATTATAGAGAATAAGTCACAACAGCGTAGCTGTCAAGATAGAAGGATCGATCATACTTGAGTCGGGTTGAGATGCATGCCCACCTGGGCTGCTGTGTGGAGATTCTGGTTTTTGCGTGCTCGCTACAACGCGAGTGATATTTTATGCACGAAATACCAACCCATAAACACCGAGCAGCAAAAAACGCTGCGCCTTGTCTAACAGCAGCCTCTCTTCATAAGACAAGAAACAAAAGCATAAACAGCAACTGTAAAGAAATACTCAGCAGCGGGGGACCTGTGATGAGTATCATCCTCATCAGTGCACTGTTAAACCGGCGATGTCAGACAGCCGGCGACATGTGTGCTGCATGTTACAATTATCTTACTAAAATCATTACCAACCACCTCTAATGATTAAAATTCAAAGGTAACCTTTCTTCCATACAAAGGCAAACTCTACGGCGTATTAAGGATATCTCGAGAATCGTGACAAGATACGAGAACTCGGTGGCACTTAAGCGCAGATTCTTATGGTGTTAATGAGAAGGGGCCTGATTCACGTTTGACACCTCCACTAACCCGTCGCTCTGAGCATTTTCTATCTTAAAACGAGAAGCTCCCCGAGAGCTCCTTATCTCGTCGCTCACACTACAAGCAACCATATCTACCACTTTTAACTCCCGCAGATGCCAATCCTACGAAGAATTTGTCATCGATTAATTCGTTTACTGTATATTAATTACAAGCGCACAGATCTTATAAAGAAAAACATCACCCTCTGAGTATATACAGCTCTCCCACCAATTAAACCTAGCTCTACATCTCTAAACTACCATTGCACCATTTTTGAAATCGATAACTTCAGTCGAGCCAAACGCCTCCACTACCTCCCCTTCAAATTTGCCCTTCACAGTAATATACCCCGTGTAAGTAGATACCAGTCCGACAGACCCAACCATCTCCTGGTCCTTTCTAACACTCTCGATCCTCAATGCCTCTTCACCAAACTTCACCGTCCATGCAGTAGCATAAACCACATTATTGAGCCTTGTCGACTTATAACCGCCATTGCTATAATCCGGCTCAAACTCAATCCCCCTCACATCCAGCGCCCCATCCTCCCTCCTAATCGTCGCGAACCTAGTCCTCTGATACGGGATCTCGCTATCCGCCGCCCAAATACTCAACTTGACCCCTCCATCGAGGTGAACATGGAACCACGTGAAGTTACCCGTGAGAGGAAGGCCGGCTCCCCATTGGCGGTCGAACCAAGTGAAAGAGTTGTCCTCGTCAATCGTGAGCTCCTCGCCATCACCAATCTGGAGAGTTCCCGTTGTGAACGCGGAGGGCACACTGTACTGGTATGTAGCGGCGAGGCCGAGCACGAAACCTCCCGCGCCGGCATTATAAATGATTGGAGAGGTGGGGTGGAAGGTGATGTTGTACGAGAATTGAGGGTCCTTGGCCCACGTGTGGAAAGCGGGGAGGCCGTCGGACCCAATGGCTTTGAAGCCGTACTGCGTTGGGATGTCGATATTTAGGAGCCCGCCAACACTGATGGCGGGGACATTCCCGATGGGGATGTAGAATTGTTTGTAGAGTGATAGTGTGTCTAGGTCGAGAAGGGAGGCTCGGATTAGACCTGGGGCAGTCATGAGGTGGGAGATTAGGAGGTAGTTTGTGTTGTTGGAGGATTTGAGATAGGTAGCAGCCCACCAAGAGCCAGTTCCAGTATCAGTGGATGAAGCGAGAGGCTGGCGGAGGTCATAAAGCGCCGGGAAGCTGATCTATTGGGACGTCAGTATATTTTTCAAGGCTCATTGTTTGGAAATACGTACTCCGAGTGGTGTATCGAGAGAACTAGTTCTTTCCGGGATGAAGGCAGGAACTGACTCCCCATAGGCAATGGCTAGGGAGGTGAGGAGTATCGAGCTGGGGAGAAACTTCATCTTTTCTTGATGTCTTTCTTGATTATATCTCCCACGGTGATATCGTTCTAGAGATAATATATCTGGATGGAACCACGGTCAAGTTGGGAGGGGGCACTACACGCTATTTATAGTCAAATCCTAATACGGGTCGATGTCCTTGCCATGCCGGAAGCTTTCTGGCCCGTGGGTAGTTCCAGCCACGAAAGAACTCAATTGGCCAGGTCTTTGAAAGATGAGATAGCGCAAACTCTCACACACATAGACAGGAGAACCCTTACAGAACAGTTTGACCAATTGGCTAAGCATGACAGCAACCGTCCTAAATACTTAGGCAGATAGTTGGATATGCACCTCGAGTCAGGCAGTTGTTCTTTCAGTCGAGGATCGAGCTCGAGACATATATGGGCTTCCTCTAATAAAGTAAACACCTTCTAAACTTGAGCATTCGGGGGGACTATAATTGAGTTAGGTAGTAGCCAACCCCTGATCGATCTGCTGATAGATCCTAAAAGACTCGAATCAATTGGTGCGGCCATGCACAATCAATGCTGACCATGGCGTGATATGGATCAATATGCTACATATAGAGTATGTAGATGTACTCTACATGTAGAGTAGGCCACAGAAGTAGCTTTTGGGTAATGTATGTACATGTAGTTTAAACGGCAGCGCTGCTAAGCTTAATCAGGAACCCACAAGACATGTCAACACCTGCCAACTGCGGTATGTAATCACCAGGTTGTAGTTAGTAAGTCATAATCAAAACCTCCGGTTGTAATAAGATCCCAGGTGCACTTTTTGGGTGGCCGGTGCCATCCCGATAGGCTGCCCCAGATATTCGTGATTTAAGCCTTTCTTGAGCTTGGCAAAAAGAAGATCACCCCACCAGCTGCTGTACTCGCAATTTCACAGCGTTTCCGGACGCAACTGCTATTGCATACACAGAAAAAACCCGCCAAGGCTATCTTTTGTATGGCATGCAATAGTGGTCGCGTCCGGAAACGTCAAAAAACTACGAGTAGTTGGCGTAGAAAATGGGGGCCAGCGTAATTAAGGTTTCCTTGGTAATTTATTTGCCCCTTGGCGTGCTTATTATTCACTTGAAATCTACAATCCACGCTACAACCTTCTGACACGAAAAGATCCCCTCTCAGGTCGGTCGGTATTTGGGGTGTCTTAGTGGACGGATGTGGTTCAATGTCCTCCTGGTTTCTGATCGGCTACAGACCCTACTACAAATGTAGAAGAGTAATCCCAGTAGGTACATATACTGATGCACACCCCAGCATCCAGCTTGAAACCGGTACTTCTCGGATGTACCGTGACGTGACGTCCAAATCCACTTTAAGGTGTCAATTATTCCAATCGGGCTCACGGCGGCCGGTATTCTACCAGCACTACAAATCATACGGCATATGTCTTTCCGGTCAATCAAAGTTCTTCTTCTCGTCCAATCCATAAAATTTATTTTTTTGGTTCGTACTCGAGGAGGTGGTATGTAGTTAGACAGAAGAAGAAAAGAAAAAAACAAAAAGAAACGCACGGCGAGGACCAACTGGCTAGATAGATAAATTGAGGAATCACAGAAGTGGCTCCCCGCCGCTCGTAGGTATGCTTATTTTCTCGGAAAGGAAAAGGGTAAATGAAAAGAGAAAGCTAGGGAAAAACAGATATGAAACAAAAAAATAGCGGGAAAGGAAGAAAGTAAGGAGGAGGAGATACTGAAGCCAGAGTCAGAGCCAGTTAAATAACTAACCAGATTCCTGCCCAGCCTACCTAGCTACTACATACTTGCCTACTTACCTGCCTGTCATTGACATCCCAAACCCGCACACGACCCAAACGAATGTACTCCTCTACCCGTGTTAACCCAATGCACGTTAGCAGAACCAGAAAATGAAAGAAAGGGAAAAACCTGAACAGATGAAAAGGAAAAGAATAGGAAAAGAAAAGGAGATCGAAAAGCTACTACGGCCATGAATAAGAATAACTCTGGAAAGAAATAAAAAGGAGTTGAAAAATGAAGAGATTCCCTTGAAGTTTATCCCAGTTGACCCGTATCCCCGCCCAACCGCCCCGCCATCGTTAACACCGCCCCGCAGCCATAGAACCAATGGCCTGCCACATAAAAGAGATAAAAGAAAAAGAGAAAAGAGAAAAGAAAAAGAAATACCCTCAGCCCTCACAATGACATACATGTGGAAAACGTAGGAAAGGTCCTTCGGTCCGATAATTATAACTCCTCTTCCTCCCAGGAGTCCTTCAGATCCACGGTTATTGCTCCCTTGATCCAGTCTTCGTTCTCTACAGCATCCAACTTCCATCTCTTGGACACCCGCTTCAATAAGCCTTCAACGATCCTCTTGCCCCCTTCCATTCTTTCGTCGTATCCAGGACCATGGCCGTCTAGAACAATCCCCGAGTCACCAGAGTCGTGCAATTCCATCGTTTTTGGTGCCAGCTTAACCCACTTCCACTCGCACCTAGCGATTCTATGCGCCGTCTTACTTCTCATCTTCTGCTCCGAAGACCCTGGAAGCGGGTCGAAAGGAAGTCGACCTTCCATCAAGGCAAACAATAAGACACCCAATGCCCATGCGTCTGTCATTCGCCCATCATACGGCTGCGCCATAATCAACTCCGGGCTGGCATAGTCGTCGCTGCCACAGCGGGTGGTCAGTAAGTCATCATTTTCGAAGTCAACCCTACGGGATAGTCCGACGTCTGTGAGTGTAGTAATCGGGTACCGTTCTCCGTAAGGGTCGTCGGCAATTTCACGTAACCGTGATCTCGAAAAGTTGATGAGGACGTCTAGCGCGAGTATGTCAACAATCAAAGTAGGGAAAGATCAGATGAAAGGTCAACTACGAAAACATACTTTCTAACTTGACATCGCGATGAACGATGTTGTTTTTATGGAGATATCGGATGGCGCTGACAATCTCAGCGGCCATCCGTCTGATCAATGGGGCCTCCATAGTGAACGAAGTGTCTGAGGCCAGATCAAACAAATCCCCCCCGGGGCAGTATGGGAGTATCAACAAAGCTCTGGTAGGCTCTATGCTATAAGCTCTGAGCCTTACCAGGGCTGGGTGGTTGACACTGTTGAGGATATCCAGCTCCCGTTTTAATGAGCTTTCAACTCTTTCCTTGGAAGCTCCCCCAGCAGCTCCATGCTCAACAATCTTGACAGCTACAAGCTTTTTCGGATCCAGCGAAACAGGCTCTCTTTCTATCGTAATCCCGTCTTCATCCTCGTTGACCTCATCCACCTCCTCGGGCAATTCTTCGGAGGTTGCCAGAATGACCCTGCTGAAAGTGCCGTGCCCCAACAACCTTATTCCGCGCCATCGCTGTACTTTTTTGTCCGGCACCGTCTTTGCCTCAAAACTTTCCAGCTTTTGCTTCTTAATAAGTCGGGCATTGGCTTCTGCGGGGTCTGTCGCAGTATCTACACTGGAGATGGACGATAATGATGTCGCACTTCCGCTCAGTGCAGGGCTCGATTCAGCCGATGAAATGGTCCACCTTCGCTGCGCCAAGAAGTCCTCGCGTCGCAGACGCGTTCCACCAGTTGCGTCTGCGTCAAGATTTGCTACTGCTCCCTCGTCACCTGCATTCGCACCGCTCAATGCAGTCCTAAAGAGGTCTCGGTTGCGCCCATGCGGAACTGCCAAAGACGACGAAGTTGGGTCGTACTCGCCGCCGTTGCGGGACACATTGTTGCTATATGTGAACTCGGCACCAGGCGGGGTAGGGCCTAAGCCTTGGTATATCTTCCTCTGGTTCTGCGCTGCGAGCGCTGTCGAGAGCGACTCGCCTGTCGAGGTGACAAGAGCTGACTCTCCGCTTCCATTGATGCTCCTGGGCATTGATCGCGACGTCTGCGAGGGGTGTCGCGAGAGAGAACGGCTCCTGTATTTATTCCATGGACCTGGCGAGTCGCTTGTAATTATGGGAGAGGGGAGAGGAGTCATTCTAGCCAGGCAGTCGAGGCCACCTGGTGAGTAAGCGGATGTCGCGGAGGCGGGGGACAACGAATCGACGAATGACGTCGACCGCGATCTCCCGGTGTGACTAGATCGTGTGGACGCCACGATTAAGTTTGATGTTTCTAAGCGGAGACCCGGCAATGGAGTAGAAGATGTAGGCGATTTGTGGGGTTGAAAAGAGTTGCGGGGAAGTGGGGTTTGTGCGGGGAAGTGTAAAGATATGTGCTGTTGGAGCAAGGCAGCATCCTGCTGCTGGTGGTTACTGTCTGGCGCAGACAAGGTGGTCGACGGAATGGAGGCAGGCAGCCAGGAGTTGGGAATGTGAGAAGCAGGGGAGGAAGAGGAAGAGGAAGGGGGTGTAGCAGGAGAGGTAGGAGGTGGCAGAGAAGTCTTAGGAGGCGTAGCAGAATGGGAAGAGCGACTAGAGAGGTGATTATGCCCCGAGGAGCTCTTCTTCTGGTAGTTGTAGTTTTGGGGTTGTTGTGAGGACATAATTACTGTACGTTAACTGATTGATTGAGTGACTGATTGATATGACCCGAGTCCACCGTCAGAGGCAGCAAAAGTGGAAGGCAAATGTATACGTATGTACCGCTGCAATACTGACTGGCCTTGTGTACAAAGTCAGGAATTATCGATATAGATAGATCTGAAGAATGTTGCACAACAATGTGCAGATTGCTAAGTATGGAAATGTGGGCAGTGAGGAGGATAGTTTTTGATTCGCTTCGTAAGAGTGACTGATTGTGAGATCCGTTTTGCAATGAACTCGGGGTTTTGTTCCTCTGGTAGACAACGTTCGTATAATGCAAACTCGTAATTAGAGCGTTTCAAGTATTCCTTGCTTTGGCTAGAAACGAGGAGCAGCGACGGGTGGTGGCAGTGGGCGTCCAACGTATGCAGCAAGAATTACATGTAGGTGAGGGCATACAACCTATCTACTACATACATTTTACATTTGCCTACCTCTGGTGGGCTGTACACTCATACCCTCTGATATGAACTGCGTACAATTCGCCCAGTAGTCTATTCATCTGTGTCTAACAGCTGTGTGTGTAGGGATAGATACATGTATCTATGATCGATGGCTTGATTAACTTACTCCCTCTCTCTCAACGAACGGCAAAGCCGTCCACAATCAACCCATGTGGTTCGTCGTGCGGCGTGCGTGGGCCCTCGATGTGGTTGGCTACGGAGATAAACATGGAGGGAATACTGCTTTGTCAAATTGGTGATCTCTCTTGGGGAAATTACTTGATGGACCGGTCTCTCTCTAAATACAGGGTGTGAGTGAGGATCAGGGTTCTCCAGGATACTGCAGATTACCCGTGATGGTGATAGCTGCTCGTGATGGTGTCCGAAACACTGGAACGACCGCGGTTCATCGGGTCACAACGTGGAATGCCTATTCTACCCTATCTACGCTGCATAAGAGGAAGGCATTTGTGTAACTTTTTAAGAAGCAGAGCAGAGTACCGACTCCACAATAGAGTACTCTAGACGATGCCCACACGCATGTAACCATATGGCCATGCATTCAATCGGTTCACTGCGCTTTCCTGCGTTAATATTACCATCAAATTCACCGGTTTTTTTGGACGTCTTGGCCTCAAGAACTTAAGACAATAACCGCTGGCCCTCGACCAATTAAACTGATGAGCTACTTGTTAAGCAGGGGGAAGGCAAATCATCTTACCTGCTCTGGAATATGTACTGATTGCTTAACTGCTTACTTGCATCTGCATTGAATGTCTGCGCCTAATATTGGCACAGTACCTACAGTACGGAGATGAAGGCCCCACGTAAGTACTTTAACTCTTGTTCCTGCCTCGAACCCACCACGCTTACTGTAGTAGCAGTAGGCACATACGTTATATCACCACCTGATCAGTCCCTCAGGGTAAACTTCACGAGACTGGGACATTAAAATTTGTAATAACTGTTGGGCGAGGCTTATGGTTGAATTGAATATCCCCTCAAATGTTGAAAATCGAATTACAGTTTCACTACCCGATCCCCTTCAGGTTTCCACCCCCGGCTCTGTTGTCAGTGCTCCCGTCACGTTGACCTTTCAAGCCCGTGTGACTGACGGAAAAAATAAAGGAAACGCCATCTGGTGCCCCGAGTGTTTCGCCTCATTCGGACGCGTTTCCCCGTAGCCGCGCGCGCGGCTCTTGGCACGTGACCACTGTTTTTTCCATAAATCATTCCATTTACGACAATCCCCGGGGCGCACGTGGTGGATGATCGATATGTGGGCGCAGTAGCCATCGTCCCGATCGAAGGCATTGATTTTGTGCGCAACCAGCGCTGAGAGGATTATATTGCCGATATCACAACGAGAAATGAGGGTGACCACCTCAAAAAGAATGCGAGTTTTTTATCCACTGCGCTAGTAAGATTAGAGATTGTAATTTCATGCCTTTGCCTGTTCAAAATTGGTTATCTGGTAGCTCCAGGGGTTGCCAATTGAACGACTTACCGGGATCTGGTTTGCGGAAATTGAGCTCAAGGATCACTGCCGAACAGAAACAGCTGTCTCTCTTTCTCTCTCTCTCGATGTCACGCTAGCAAAGTACCGACCTCAAGCCATCACCTTTCCATCAAGTTCGGATAAACCTTAAGATTCGTTTCGCCGAGTGACGTATTGTGAAAGAAAAAAGAAACCCTCTTTATCATGGGCGTCGATTATATAATACCTTGTGCAGCTTAGTACTTATGCCGGGGATTAGAGGAGCATATGTCAGTCAGTCGATTCTCTATTCTATCTCACCACTCTCAATATTCACACTAGATACATGTATTCATTAATTCTACAATCCTGTTTTTGGGTTCCTCCTTGAATAATACATACATATGGCCTTAAATGATTCACTGTCGGAAGAAGCACGTCTATCCATGAGAGACATATCGTACTGATTTACATGAAACCAACGAAATTACGATCAGATCATCGGATATCACTCGACGCCACAATGAATATCTGCAAATCATTAATTTCCCCAACATTCCGGAACCTTTCTCGAACTCGGCTGGTCGCTACGAATCTCATAGCCCTTGGATGACACCCGACTTGTAGCCGGTGGCCCTGGGAGCGGGATAAATCTACATAGATCTAACTACTCACGTGACATCAATGAGGCTCTGTTTCGAGTCCTTACTAAGCCGAGACAAAGCTTGGCAGGACGTCGAGCTTTGGCCCGCACGCCAAACACAGGAATGGCCAGCATCACAAACACGTACACCAGCAGCTTCACTGTGTCCATAGAGTACCTCGAATATGGATTTCGTATGTAACCCTTACTTTTCATACGGATTTCCTTACCCATAACACGGGCTGAGACACTTCGTACAAGAGGACGATCCTGGAGCTAGCCACATAGTAGTGTACAGCTAACAGTTGACAATTGTAGTGGAACCGTCTCATCGGAGGATCTGGCTCCTCAAGCGTGGCCAGCAAGCAGCCCCTTCCTGCTACACCTCAGCAGCGACTAGCAAAGTTCAAGAAAGTTTGGCAATCGTTAATGGCATGGAATCCAATTGTTCCTATTGGTACTTTTCATGAGAAAGGGTACCAGCTGACCGTGTAGCTTCCACGATCCAGCATACATGGCGCAACTCGCGTGAAAACGACCCAAACTCGCAGGAACAGCTTCGGGGCTACGTAAAACGCCTGACGGACCTCCTGATCGAGGAGGAAAAACGGTCCGCGAGGCTGTGTATGAACTTCTGCTATGAGAACCAGGTTTTCATATTCCTGTCACAAATTGGACAGTCGGGTACTGCGCCAGTGATAAGGGAGTGCATCACAGCCTTTGCAACGTTGATTGATAACGAGGAGGAAGACTTTTTGGCCCAGGAGAGTTTCGCCCAGAGCTTAATTGCGTTTCTGAGGAGGACAAGTCAGCATAGTGAAACAATATTTGAGGGCGAGTTTGTGGAGCTGCTATTCAGTATCTCGGCGAAGATTCGGCTGAGCCCGGGAATCCTACAAGCTTGGTTTATCACGAGAGGAGACGAGGAAGGTGGTCGGGAGTTTGAAAATTTGGGACCTCAGCAGAAGTTTGCGGGTATTACAAACAAGGTGCGGCAAGACTTTTTTCATATATAGCACGTCATTAATGGGGAATGGGTTTGAGGTTACGGGAGGCGTTTTGGGTCTAACAGGCATCTTTCACAGGATGATTTCCCGCTTTTTTATCTATTGATAGATTATGTCCACCACGAAGGAAGAGTTGGTGATTTTGCGAGAACTGGGCTGCTCTATATCATTGAGGCAGCGTCAACGTCTGGTGATCTAGAGAAATGGATTGTCGAGAGCGATCTTGCAACTTTGATGGCTTCTGGACTAGGGGCGCTTTACAGCCAGCTTAGCAGGTTGTTCTCTCTGCAACCCATAATTTTGCTGGGCGAACCTGGTTGACGAAAGTTTCCAGAAAACTAGTCGTGACGTATCCCACAGATGATCCACCGACAATTCTTGTGCTTTCCGACTACTCCTCCGCCCCACCAACCTTTGGCGCAGAGAGTTCTAATTCACCAGAATTTCAGACACATCTCGAAACCTTCCTTTCTTATCTGATATTCTGGCAGGATGTGTTGGAGCATTGCAGGTCTGCCGATGTTAAGCAGACTCTTCTCGACCACTTTCAAGTTCTGTTCTTACAACAGCTATTGTGCGTTAATCTTGCCGGCCCAACTGTGTTCAAATTGCTGAATTGCGTAGATATCCATCTCTTCTCGAGTCCTCGGACATAGACGGTGGCTCGTCTGTGGCCGTCTTAACATATGTCCGTGTTGTTCTCGATACTCTTGAGCATCCTGATCTCATACACCTTATACTATCCTATCTAATGGCTCTCCCCGACAAGCCAAAATCCGAGACCGAGTCAATTCAATCACCGTCAATGGAAAGGCGTCGAAGATCACTCGATCTTTTGTCCAAAGTTGCAGCCATGGATGACACACCAACTCCAGACTTGTTTAACCTTGTAGACTTAGTATTAACCAGTCTGAAATCCAAATCTCAGCAAACAGTTTCAGCCACTCTGCGTTTGGTGTCCACGATATTAAGAAAACACCACCCATATTCAGTATCTACCCTTTTAAAGGTTATCCCATATCCCGAGGGAGCACATATGCGAACTATTGGTGCCCACAACAAAGAGATGGAACTGCTGTTTACCCTTGTAGGCGATATATCCGAGGACAGAGATGTTTCAGAGAGTTATAGCCAACATCTCAAGGATAACCTCGTCCTGCTTGAATCTCACCCTTGTTCTGCAAAGCACCTTAACCTGAAGAACGGGCCTAGCCGGGGAGTACAGGATGATGCAAACCCTCGATGGGCCAAGCTGAATGAAATGTACACCCACACCATTCATCCAAACGACCCACTGCTCAAGAATGTAATCGAGCTGCTAAACACGTTCTTTGCAAACACCGTCGAGACAAACTTGATACTCACCGCGGTCATTGTAGACCTCGCAACA